ATTCAATAAATACGATATGTTTTGATATGTTTTTAAATGCCTTTTTGAAGTTTGAAAACGTAAAATTTTTATACCCATTTAAGAATCATCTTAAAAAATAAATAAAAACTAAACAATCACGAACTTGTTTAGAAATAAATTTAAAGTACATACCTTGCTTAACAATATCCATAGTGGCTTTCAGTTAAGTACGTACCCGTTTAACTCCATAATATACAGAACTACTATGAATGTTATTCTTTTCACTGATGAGATAATGATCGCAAAATTTATTTTTAGTGAAAATATTTGCTAACAAAAACGCTGTTTATGAAAAATAATATACAGGATGGTTGAACATTGCTATAAGTATAAAATTATATATTCAGATATTAGTAAATTTTAACTTATTTTTTGATTTTTGTCCATGGGACGAAGCACTGTGCGTCCGGCATCGTTATATTTCTTGGTGCAATTCTCTGGCCACTAAATACTCTGAATCAATGGGCATCTACCCCAGCAGCCTTCAGGCAGAAATCTACGCTATCGAAAGATGCGTACAATTTATCTTAGACAGGAACTATCCTAACTTATTAACTAACAGCCATCTTATCCGATATTCAAGCAGCGCTAGACGCGGTCAACTCAGTAACCATCAGTTCGAAGTTGGTCAAAGAATGCCTAGAGAAGCTGAACAAATTAGACAAAGAAAATAAAGTCCTCCTACTCTGGGTGCCCGCTCACCAACGGATAGAAGGCAATGAAAAAGCAAATGATCTAGCAAGAAAAGGAGCGAACACTCCAATAACAGGGCCAGAACCGTTCTGTTGTCCAAGCGGAAACCAACTAAAGGAGGAACTGAGGAACCTGGAAGACTCCAACCGTAACATGGAATGGTAAACTCCAACGGTTTAAGACACTTGAAGAAATTTCTCTGAAGTTACGACCGAGAAAAATCAAAAATTTTCCTTGATTTAAATAAAAACAATCTTCGGAGTATCACGGGGTTTCTAACAGTCTCCTCAACAAACACCTCAGTAGGCTGAAACTGAGAAACAAGGGCGAATGCAGATTCTGTGGGGAAAATGGGGAAACACCAGAATACCTTATCACTGAGTGCACCGAGACGACGACCGTTCGTGCCATGAACTTTGGTACCTACGTCTGATGTGGAAAATGGAGAGCTGGCCTCTGTGGAGCCGTCTCAGATACTGGCTTTTGTTAAAGCCCTGAGACTGTAAATGAGTTATAACTCGTTATAACTCAAGAAAGCGGAACACACAATAGATCGGGAAGGTCGCGGTGATTAACTCCCCTCCTAAACATTCCCCCCCTAAACATTCCACCACACTACAGCCAGGAACAAGACAACGAGATGCTCCTTAGACCTAGCCAAAGTGCCAGAGAGAGAAGAAGACCCCCTAGCACCTGACTAGGAGCTTCCCCACCAACGACAAGCTCTTAGGCCTGTTCCAACAACGCCTCGAAAACACCAAACCCGTTTTAACACGGGTGTTGGGCTGACACCGATGGCCAAATATAGACTATCCGGTGTTTCGGTATCGACACCAACACCGGTGTTCATTTCGATACCGGTGTTCATCTCCACGTGTTGGTCTGGACACCGGTATTCATCTCGATACCGGTTTTGATATCGACACCGGTGTTTAGTAAACGGGTTAAAGAAGAAATAATGTTAATTAATAAGTTCAAAATAAACCTGATAATAATAACGTCGTATCGAATAATCGACTTTAACTTAAAGATTTCAAATTTAAATATAGTTTTTTTTTGTCAGACTAATCACTAAAATAAAGTGGAAGCGTCAGATAAACAACTATGAAGTAAAAAATTGTTTAATCAAAAACAAATAAAAAACAAAACAAAACATAAAGAAACAAAAATTCGTAGCTGTAAAATAAACTAAAAAATATTACATATAAAAAACTAAAAAAAAAACAAACAAACGACACCATCGACATCGACACCGACACCGGTACACCGACTGAAGCACCGGTGGTCATCAACATCTAACACCGGTGTTCAAATCTCAACACCGAACAGATCTACAAGCTCTCACCATTGTTTAAGGAAAAGAGTAGTTGCAGTCTCGCAAATATTTTCTGCCAGTTTTTGCAAGCTGGCAAGTTGCAAAGCGTTTCAGTTAGGGATGTCGCAAAAATAAAATAAATCGATATTTTGAATCGATTCAAGATCGGACATAACAAGATCGATCCAGAAAAAAATCGGTAACAAAAGATCGATCTTATTAAATATCGATATTCGATTCTGAATGTATTGGTGTACTGGTATAATAAAAATACGATATAATCATAAAAAAATTAGATACATAAAAATCGTAAAACCGTTTATTAACACATTTAAAATTGAAACTGAATAACAGTCATCCCAAACTGAATCAGAAACACCCACAAACCGAGACATACTTGAAAAATTAAAAATACTATGACAATGTTAAAATATAATTATTCGGCTTTTTGCATGCTTATGATGTTTTTGACACAGAATATGTACCGGTAAATTCTGTAATTTTGATATATCAGTCAGTTGGAAAGAAGCTAAAATCAAAAAATATTCTGTTATCTAAAATATAAAAATATGGGAATCACCGACAAAAATCTGACACCTAATATCAAAGTGGTAAACAGACATCGGCGCATGCGGTAGCGAGCACTTACACTTAATTTTTCATTGCTAGATGGCGGAATTTTGGAGTTGTTATTAGAGATGCACCGGAATCAAATATTCAAGCAAAACTAAAGTGTTTTTTTTATTCTAACAAATAAATAAACCTGTAAAAATGTATAAATAAAATCGATCTTCGATTTTGAAAAAAAATCGATTCTACCAAAAGATCGTTTGATAAAAATCGATCGATTTTAATCGATATTTTCGGCAAAAAGATCGATCTTCGATTAAAATCGATTCGAATCATGCATCCCTAGTTTCAGTTGAATTCGGTCCGTCGAGCTGTGAGGTTCGAGCGTTGCGTCCAAAGACATTGTTGCGTCCGAGCACAGGGACGGATTGACAAAAAATGAGTGCCTTACTGTGCGCTGCTATTAATTGTGGAAATAATTCAAAAAATTGTTCTTTGAGTCTTTTTAGATTTCCATCGGATGTAAATCGGCAAACTGATAGTAATTATCAATTAACATTTAATTATATTTGTTTATTTTAGAAACTGAGATATTATGTAATTAATTAAATGTTATTATTTTTTTTAGCAGGTGTGCAGATTTTAAAGATAGTTTTTTAGATATACAGGTTGTCACAAATATGCGCATGAAAATATTTTTTGGTCAGGGGATTTTCCATAAAATTTTCATTCCAATAATAATTTACAAGATAATTTATATAAATTGGTTTTTGAAACAATTTTAGAGTAAATATTTTGTACATCTAAAGTCTCTGCAAATTATTCATATTTTTTAATTGAAAGAATTTTATAATAGCATAATCTCTTATAAATTTAGTGGACTGTATTTTTTATGTTTTTTTTATTTATTTTTTATTATAAGTGGTCGTAATATAACAATATTCAAAATATTATAGACAAAATATTGAGTTTATATTTGAGGGAAGAAAAGTGCCACACCTAGCTTTAAACCACTGTAAATATACAGGGTGGCCCATTAGTGCGAGGAAGTCCAATATCGTCGTCGTTGTCGAAGATGTAAAAAAAGTTTTATTCATATGTTTCAAGGTTTATAAAGGGGTGTATCCTAAAATATTTTGTTATATACAGGGTGTCACAAAAAAAGTTATGGTAAAGTTAGTTTGATTTTTTTTATTATCTTACATCATTCTATATACATTATTCTATATTGGGTATTTTTTATGGCGTCACAAAAATCGCAATATTTAAAATGGTATATCTCAACTTTTTTAAATGCGACATTCTGTATATTATTTTTCTGTCAGATGCAGAATTAAAAAGTGAACATTTTTTTATTAATTTAAAGTGTTTCTAAATTTTTACGGCTGTCGCAGATATTCACAGTATTATATTACATATGGTAAATATTATATATAATATTCAACAGTAATTTTTTTTCAAAGCCACCGAATATGATCTTTGTCTATCTTGTCTTGTCAAAAAATGTTCACCTTTTAATTCTACATCTGAAAGAAAAATAATATACAAGGTGTTGCATTTAAAAAAAATGAGATACAACATTTTTTAAATATTACGATTTTAGTGACGCCATAAAAAATATCCTGTATACGATAAAGTCAATTTTTCTACACGAATTTATTCCGATATCCTTCATGTTTAAGAAAACATAGCAAAGTATTAATAAAGTTATATTCACTCTAGTTTTTTACCACTTTTCGTATATAATGTTTTTAACCAAAGTTTTAGTAAATAAGAAATAGATTGGCAACACCGCAGTGTGCTTTAAATAAAGACAGTGTACTATAGCATAATTTTATGCCGAATCCACTTATCTACAGAAAATTAAACTTGCTTTAAATCAAAAAAAGTAGTAGAAAATCTCTGAAATAGATAATAATATAAAAATATGTCATTATATATTTTTTCCGCATTTATTCCCATCAGAAGATTTTCAGATACAGAAGAATTGTTACCTACACAAAATGTGAAAATATTCTGTTTTCAAGCAAGTTTTTACTCGATGATCATTTTTTTTATTTTATTTTATTGTGAACTCATATTTTCCTAAATATATATCTGTGAAACTATGGCGAGTGCCACGTCTATACTTTGCCTAGTTAATAGACCACGACTATACAGCTACGTCGTCGGCTACGGAGGCGAGAACAAGGTCATATAAAGTGGCAGAAAAAGAACAAAGGATTTGACAAGGAGTAAAACTACTAGTTTCCTTATACTATGCTCTCACAGAACTCTCCTAGAGAGCTCCTAGCGGCTCCCTAATATTGGAAGAACAACTTTTTAATCCGCCTCGGTAGATACTGAGCAAATGCAATTTCCTAAAACCGACGCCGGCCGCGATAAAAGTAAATATACAAAGTCCGAACGATCTTGACATAATCTCAACGAGAAAACCGCAATCGAACCAGATATTTCAGTATCTTACTTCGATGCTTCGGTTCCTTTACTGTAATGTCTCAATATTTAAAACTCGTATCAGCTCTGATCGTCATCCTAGCCGTCTATTGGTCCATTTTTCGAACAGGTAGGTACGTCTTTGAGATCGATTTTATTTGCGATAAAATATAGAAAACTAATTTAACTAGGTCAAAAACTCGAAGAATTGGAGGAAAAATGGTGGGGAGACAGTGGTGCAAAATCGACAGAAAATCGTGAAATTACCAAAACAAGAATCGATGTTCCTAGTGAGGTGAGTGTTATTATTGTTTTCATATTAGCTATTCAGATATCTAATCTTATCTAAACTTAGAAAGATAAATATTGTAATGCAGTGAGAGATAATTCAGTGCCTTCTATTAAAAGATCAGCCTACGGGCGAGGTTTATGACGTCACGCTAGTTAGATATAACGGATTAATAAATATGTTGTAGAATACATGGAAAACATAATTATTCCTCAGATTTTTGGTTTGTATTTTAAAAATGATATAGTTTACATGAAATATTAAATATACATAATATACAGTTAATAACTACAACATATATACCTATTTATAGTAATAAATACTTTGGCAAATAAACTATGAACCATACAAATGCAGCAAATGTTTTACAATGTACAAATAATGTATAGGTACATAAGATAATGGGTAAAATGTAAATATATTTTAAATTTTGGGGTTTGAAAATCGATCTAATTTAACAAAAAACATTCAATACCTATCTACTAATAGTGATGTATTATTATTTGCATTCACAAAATTTATATGTATATTTTGCAAGTATCAATGTTCGAAAAATTATATTTACAAATAATACAATATTATCTAAAAAAAGGCGTCAGCGATGGCTATGAAATGAAGATCGCTGGCATTTTATATGCAAAATTATTCTAAAATTTTGATTTTCTTGGGATTTTAGGTTCGGGAAAAACGCTGATTTAAGTATTATTTTTTATTTGGTTTAAAAAAACGTTTCGATAACTATAGCCTTCATCAGTGTTGTGTCATATATGAGAAAATAGTGTCGAATATAATCCAAAAAATTACATATACAATATAATTCACACCTCATAATGTTTACTGCAATTAATAAACTAATATAAACTTATCAAAAGATGACCACATATTTTTTTAAATTATTATTCTTAACACTAAAATTATCTACATTGACTATGGAGTACGCAGTAAACATTATGTGTGTGGTGTGAATATTTTATATGTAATTTTTTGGATTATATTCGACGCTATTTTTTTCATATGACACAACACTGATGAAGGCTATAATGTTAGCCGAAACGTTTTTTTTTAAACCAAATAAAAATAATGAAAAACCAAATGAAAACTTAATCAGCGTTTTTCCCGAACCTAAATCCCAAGAAAATAAAAAAATTTAGAATATTTAGAAACAAGGTTCAAGAATATCAAATTTTCCAAGATTGTAAAATTCTAGTTAATTATTTTATGTGTACAGTTATTTAGGAAATGTCATCGATGTTCATTTCCAAGCCAACTAGACGCCGATTTTTTTCGATGATACGGTATAATTCTTACGTAAAATGTAAATAACATTAGACCAATTAAAACAAAGAAATATGAATTTCTTAGTATTTTTAGTAACACCTTTATTCTTAAAACTTAATTTTGTATTATGCAAATATACCAATTTTATTGTTATTTTATTCATATTGTATTCAGCCATCACTTAAATATTTGATATTAATTTGGTATTATAAATAATCAACACTATTCATTAAAAATTACTGAACAAATATATGTTATGCTTGACAACTTGACATACATTATATATTATCAAACAAAAACACATTCTTCTTTTAAACTGTATCAGTCCTGTCTTTACAAAAATCTTTTTTAAAATTTGAACTCAAAATAATAATCTTTTTCATGATCTTTAATACCCATATTCTTTATTTTTCCCTAGATCATAATACTTACTTACGTGTTTGAATCTATCGAAGCTGAACCAACAACACTTGGAGTGGAGATTCCACAATATGAATAAAATAAACATAATTGTCCAGTTTTCATTAATACCATCATGGGAGAATATTATTTTTAAATTTATTAAAGATATTTTCAATAGAATTCTCTTAGATAGATTTATAACTCGTACCCACTTTTCTTGCTCTTCCGGACACTTTAGGCTGCCTAGTATAACTATCCTTTCCACCAGGAACACAACAAAGATGAGGCATAGCACCAAAAACACACTCCACTTAAGCTTTATTGATGAATTGTTAGAGTCTTAAAAAACACACACAAAAATCACGATGAGTAAAAAATGTATGGGCACTTTTAGGTTAAATCCCTTACACAACGTGTAATTTTTCAATTTTTCTATTTTTTTATGCGAAACCGAGAGTGACCATATATCTGGTAGTAGTTTATGTCACTTAAACACCAAAATAATTAGTTTTTTTGCACTACAGTAATAAATAATACCAAAAATCATAGAGTTAAAACCAAAAATCAACCGACAAAATATGAAACGGAATCTAACCCAATATCTAAGTATGTACAGCTGATGAAGTAAACAAAAGTCCGCCCCCAGGCTGATCTTTTAAAGAACGGCAGTGGATAATTTTTATATCTGTTAGGGAAGTCCTAAAATATCGATTTTTTTAAAACGTATCGACATATTCTCAGAGATTGAAGTTAATATGCATATTAATAGTGCTGAGCAAAAAATTTATAGGGTTGAGCCACTTTTGAGATTCACCCGGTATATTTAATAAGAAATTTCTCCTCGTTTCCTTTCCCAGGTGCTTCGTGATCTTCAACAACGCCTCGAGAACACCAAACCATTTCATCCGAGTCACACAGGAGTCGCTCAACACTACGGTATCACCACGACTGTTCTCAACTCCGTTCTTGAACACTGGAGGACCAAGTACAACTGGACAGAACGCCAGAACTACCTGAATCGCTATCCGCAATATTTTGTTCAGATCCGTGGACTCAGGATTCATTTTGTGCACATCAAACCACAGATTCAACAAGGAACCAAAAAGATCTTACCTTTGATGCTGTTGCACGGATGGCCTAGTAGTTTTTCTGAGTTTTATGAAGTCGTTCCCTATCTAGTAACTCCTCAGAAAGGTACCAATTTAGATTTGAAAGAATGAAACTCACTCTTTTTATTTTTTCATTTTTCTCGATCTGTTTGATTGATCTCTTAAAAATTAATGTTGTAAGACGGTATTTTTTTAGTCAATCCTTTATTTAAACAAAAACAGAATTCCTTCTGGCTCAACTTTCGTTTAGCTGAAATCTGTTATATAAAAAATGACTTTATATATGCGTTCTAGAAGGCGTTAGGAGTATAAATATACAAAAATTTTCCTGCGGAAATGCGTCATTTTCATTTTTCTTACTTTAGTATAGTCGAAATCTGTAATAGCACTTTAATTTATTGGTTTAGATAGAGACTATGTTTTTGAATTGGTTATACCCTCGTTACCTGGATTCGCATTTTCACAATCTTCCAGAAAACCAGGACTATCTTCAGTCTACATCGCACAAATATTCAAAGATCTCATGGAGGTACTTGGTTACCAGAGGTACTACGTCCATGGAGGCGATTGGGGCAGTACCATTGCCCAGCACATGGCTCATCGGTTCCAAGACAGGGTAATAGGACTACACTCGACCATGTGTTTTATAAATAGTCCCAGAGCAATGTTTATGTAAGTCACTTGACCACACGGTGACCCATGTACAAAATACACACTTTAAATTATTTTAGGTTCTTTATTGGGAAATACTTGCCATCTTTGATTTATGACAATGAAGAAGTAAAGTTATGCAACTCCATCGCAAACTCATTAAGTTTTATTATCAGCGAAACAGGATATTTTCATTTGCAAGCGACTAAACCAGATACTGTTGGTAAGGATAACTTGAAATTAAGGCTTACAGATTAATACAATTACAGTTGAGGGTTGGAACCTTTGGTGTTACACAGCAAAATAAAAACACTAAATCACCACAATACACCGAAACACTTTTACTTTTACACGGGACGCGCGTTTCGCTAACCATGTTAGCATCATCAGCAGATGATTATAAACTAAAGTACAATCTACAAGTTGAGCGTTTATATACTCGCTCAGTGGGCACCGAGTGGGCGTGGCAAAATCTAGCCAACCGAGTCAGAGACAACTGAGCGTAACAGTTAGATTTCCGCCACTAGAGTAGTAGGAACAAAGAACTTGAAGGAATTGGACCGTTGACTCTGTTCATACTATCTTTACATTTATTAATTCTGATGCTTTCATATGCATCTAGTTGCCTGTAATTTGAGACTTGCTTAATTAATTTTAAATTATTAAGATCTATACAATGTTCATTATCAACAATATGTTCAGCAAGGCAAGATTTATCCGGTCTACCATATCTTATCTGAGCTAAATGTTCTTTAAATCTAGTTAATATTGATCTTCTAGTTTACCTAACATATTTCTGATTACAATCTTTACAAGAAATTTCATAAATACCCGACCTTTCCAGTGGAGGTGTTTTATCTTTTGGATTACCTAATAATTGTTGTAATTTATTATTAGCACTATACACAAGTTTATAATTGACATTATTAAAAATTCCTTTTAGACCACGGGATAACTCTCTATCAAACGGTATCGAAAAATATTTAGACGTATCTTTCTCCACTTGAAAAGTCGAATTTTCAGAAATCATTAACCTATACCTACGTTTTCTAATTAATTTATCAACTAGTGACAACTTTCGGCTGTAGGTCTAACTTCACAGTTTAGAATTGACAGATTTCAGTTTCAGAGACAACTTCAGATTTGTTCTAGAACAAATTCGAAAATATTCGACGCCATTTTAATTCATTCCGTTTAGTTTCGTTTTGGAAGTTCAATTTAATATTTCGGTTGAAATTTATAAATATGAAGGTAATAAAGGATATAAAATATATATTACATGAAGAATCCTGGAGAAAATGACGTTTCTGCAGTAGTAGGTATGTCCCATGTATATGAAAAATAGGTAGTAAATAAACAGTTTTTACATTTTTTAGATGCAAGAAAATGGTGTTATAATCTCTTTGATCGACGATTTTTTTGAAAATGGAAACAATTTACAGCAAGGTAAGATCATTTTTAACTATAGCCAACATTAGTTATCTCCAGTATGTGCGATTTATTGTCAATAAAGCAATAAATCGGACTGATAATCTGATTATGTTATCCGACTAAAAGTCTCTTTTTGCATCTTTTTGATTTATAAGCCAGGTTCTTTGGGAATAATGGACGCTTTTTTTAAACAGTTTATTTATATTTTATACCTATTGATATTTTTACATTGTTAATTTTTGTATAAAAAAATTGTTTTTCTGTTTTCAGGTTTTTGTATAAGGCTCCCGTTTTCATGTTCCTGTGTCCGTTTTCTGTCCTTGAAGTTTGCGAATGCGTGTGTTTATTTACAAATTACTGTAAGTCATGCTTATACCTTAACTAATTTACGTTAAAAGTGCATATAATTAACTAATTGGTATTGAAACAATACAATCCTCTATATTTTTATATTTATTTAGTCACGTTGTTCCATATTTCAAATAAATATATGTGAATAAATTATTTTTTGGTTTTATTTATGAAAAGAAAAAATACAAAATACATTTGAACTGAAAGAGGGCCCGCCATTGAATAACCGGAAACGGAAATGAAAATTAAGCCATCATGTCCTTATGTCAACCTATGTCAACCTGTCAATGGGAAAGTTAGTTCTCCAGACGACAACGAAGGCTTTCGGTGGCGTATCGTGTTTCCACGATTTAACACAGAGTTAACACTTCTTTCTAGTTAATTATTTTATGTTTGCCGCCGCGCCCGGGGCGGCCCGTACCCTCCTTCCCCTCCGCCCCCCCCCCCGACATCTATTACTTAGAACTAATAAACAATTATCTGTCTATCTATCTATATATCTATCTATCTATCTATAGTGTAGATCGGCCTATAAATTGCAGGTGTGGCCTTGCGTGATAGTCCAATGGGTCTGGCAGCTTACATGTTAGAAAAATTCAGTACTCTAACGAATGCAGCCTACAGAGACCGAGACGATGGAGGCCTTACCGAAAAATTTACTTGGGACCGTCTTTTGGACAACATTATGATATACTGGGTGACTCAAAGTATGACCAGCGCCATGCGAATCTACGCCGAAGCCTTTACCAATAGGAACCTGGAAGTTGGATCCTTCAATTCGTAAGTGAAGATAAAATTCATTTATACCATAGCATGAGATTACTCTTATTGTTAACAAAGCTGGACAAAAAATAAAACAAATAGAATATACAGGGTGCTACAAATTCGAGGTACGAGCATTAGTATCTCGGTAACCGTAATAGATACGAACGTGGTTAAATTAGGGCAAAGTTGCGCTTTGGGATGTTCACCAAGATGCCATCAAAAAAGTTTTAAAAATTTCAAGGATTGCTGAGTTTTTTGGAAAAAACTGATTTATTTAAAAATTAATTTTATTTTTTCCTGTCGTTACTTTTTAGAAAATCAAAAAACTAATTGCATGTTCTCATAGCCACTTTATTAGGGCTATCTGGTAGTATTTTTAGATTTTCAAATTAGCTGATCATTTGTGAGATACAGAGGCCAAGTTAATTTTTTTAAATACGGACCTGCATTTTTTATTTTAGATTTTGAAAGAACTCGATCTCCTAAAAAAAATGGTAAAACATTATAAAACAATATAAAATAATTAATATAAATATAATATAATATAAACAATCAAATCATTTTCCCGGAAATGGACTGGAAATGGTAGAGCAGTATAATGTCCAGCATCGTTCCTGGACCTATCGCCTAGGGGCTACATTACTTGACGTCATTTGTAAAAGTGAAATCAATTTATCTCAACATTTACAATAAAGAGTATGAAATGCATTCGAAAGTATAAAAAGAAAGTTCAAAGAGCTACAAATAAAATTGAAGAAAAATAAATTTGTGCAATAGGGAGGGTGGTAACCATTTCGAACATGTAGAACATTAGAAAGCAGTTTGTAAAAGTTGATTTATTTACAATAACTACAATTAATATTATGCATATTATTAGATCGCACCCTGAGATTTCAAATTCACGATAAAAAAAGTTAAAAATAATATCTTTAATGTTTTAACCTGGATAATATTTATTTGAATCTTACAGTTGGCTCTATTTTCCTTATTCAATGTTAATTAGCGCTGATCAATATTGTTGCGTTGAATATAATCAGATTAATTAATTTAAGAAACCAGAGTCGGACTTGAAATTATTTAAATATAATTAAATAGTTTTGTTACTGTTAAGGTTTGATTTGACCCTAAACAAAAAAGTATGAAGTGTGGCATATCATTGTATTCAGGAGACCGAGTTCTTTCAAAACCTAAAATAAAAAATGCAAGTCCGTATTTAAAAAAATTAAGTTGGCCTCTGTATCCCACAAATTATCAGCTAATTTGTAAATCTAAAAATATTACCAGATAGCCCTAATAAAGTGGCTATGAGAATGTGCAATTAATTTTTTGATTTTCGAAAAAGTAACGACAGGAAAAAATAAAATTGATTTTCAAAAAAATCAGTTTTTTCCAAAAAACTCAGCATTACTACAGAAAGGATCAGACTAAGCTTTAGGCAGATTCTGAAATATGTTATATATTTCCTTCGGCCTCACACCCGCTTTACCCGGCCCCTGAGACCGACCCGAACAGTACAGCGTAAGAGACTCTTAAGAGTAATTAGCCGCTAATTGAGATGTATTGGATTAGTTCTTCACTGGACTCACCCTATAAATTGTAATATAATTGTTTACTTTGATTCCAGAATGAGGATCGATATTCCAACAGGCTGTGCTAGATTTCCGTACGAACTCTTGGTCAGTCCAAGATCGATTTTGAAGGAAAAATTCCAGAACTTGATACATTTGACGTCTTTTAATACTGGAGGACATTTTTCCGCTCTAGAAGAACCGAAATTACTAGCTAACGATATTTATGCTTTTGTTAATAAAGTACAACAAGAAAATGTTAACTAAACGTGCCATAATACTCCATCCTATTAAAATTGTACTTAACTAATGAAATTAAAATATAAGTTATTAAGTTAATTGTATTTTTGTATTCAAAAATTCTCAGTTTCGAGAACTAATCGTATCATTTGCAAGACCATGATATTAGGAAATTAGCAGGGATAACTTGGGCCCGCATAGCCTACAATCACAGAATATCTAGCTACGCAACAGAAAAATACTCGAAATGAAAGAGCTAAAATTGCACAAATGAAATACTAGATGGCGCGACAATATCATAATCAGAATATAATTGGAAATTTTCAATTTTCGGTTTTGGATTGACGACACGTCGACGGCCTTGAAGCTCGGCTAAATATGCACAGTTGCCAGATTCAAAAAGACTTTAATTGGCATCCCATTCTTTTTCTGGTGTATAAAAATTTCTTCCTATTCTTCGTTTCTTGTCAGATACACTTATATTAATTATTCGTTTGGCTTTTAAAATAGTTTTAGGTTTAAGTATATTATTAGAAAACACATGCTCACAAAATACATTTTTAATATATGTACACACTTTATTATGTTAACTAAGAAAATAACTTTAATTACCTTTAAAATTAATAATATACAGGGCGATTGATAGTGATATTTATTAATGCTGAAACGTTAGTAATGAAATATACGTTTAATAATAATGGAAATAATTTATTAAAATGCAGTACAAAAAATGTTAATTGACTAAAAAAATACTATAATAACAATTTTTTCTGTTTGCTACGTTATTTATATAGACCTAGGTAGATTTTCAAAAGTGACACAGGTACAATTAATAATATATTAGTTCGGCATAAAAGTTGCTGTCACGACATCGTACAATAAATTAAAATTCGTAAAATAAATTAAAATTATTAATTAAACAAATCTTTATAAAGAAACAAAGTATACCAAATTTTGGCCCAATCGAACTCCAGGAAATGATATCATAATATTGTACTATATTATGGTACCACTCGATATGCTTCATAATATTGCAATGTCACCAAAGATCCGTAGTATACCAAATTTAAGAACAATCGAACGCCAGGAAATGGTATCGTAATAATGGTACTATAGAAGGTACCACTTATATGCATTATAGTACCATCATATTACAGTGTCACCGAACATACGGAGCATACAAAGTTTAAGCCCAATCAAACGCCAAGAAATGGTATCGTAATATGGCACTACATTATGGTTCCCCTTGATATGCTTCATGGTACCATAATATTGCAATGTCATAAAAAATACGCAAGTACAATCAAATATGAGCCCAATCGAACGTCAGAAAGTGGTATCATAATATGGTACTATAGAAGGTACCACTTTATATGCATTATAGTACCATCATATTACAATGTCACCGAACACACGTAGTATACAAAGTTTAAGATCAATCGAACGTCAGAAAGTGGTATCATAGTATGGTACTATAGAAGGTACCACTTTATATGCATTATAGTACCACCATATTACAATGTCACCGAACACACGTAGTATACAAAGTTTAGGATCAATCGAACGCCAGGAAATGGTATCGTAATATGGTACTACATTATGGTACCTCTTGATGTACTTCATGGTACCATAATATTGCAATGTCATCAAAAATACGCAAGTATATTTAAATATGAGTCCAATCGAACGTCAGGAAGTGGTATCGTAATATGGTACTATATTAAGGTACCAGTTTATATGCATCATAGTACCATCATATTACAATGTCACCGAAAATACTTACTATACCAAAGTATAAGTACAATCGAACGCCAGGAAATTCAATTACAATCAAACGTCACAAAGTGATTGTAATTCAGCTCGTAAGATTTAACTCCAACCAACATGGCAAGTTAAATACCTAAAAGTTTGAAAAAAGAGCTCTGATCTATTTTAATATATTTAAATGATGTAGGAAATTTGAAGGTAGGCTTTATCAGGAAATATTACAATATAAATTACACAATGGCAACACTGCATAAAATTATTTTAAATTTCGTTTGTAGAAAACTGTTTTCTTTTAAATTTATTGCCCTCTATTATGTAATAGCTAAACTACCGCATCAAAATATCTGATTTGGATACAGGCTTTAAAAGCCTGTCTCCTTTTGATACCTACGATTTTATACGTAAAACGAGGCTTCTGTTGCGTAGCTAGATATTCTGTGCTACAATAGACAACAATGAGCCCAAATAGGCGAGTATCTAATATATAATAGAGAGTATCTAAATATGTGAGGGAGACTACAACATAATGGTAATGGAAAGTGGTTGAATAAGCTGATAATGATGATACAAAGCAGAAGGGTTTAGTCAACTCTACTCTACCCTACTTGATTTTTATTGGATCGATATTATAAATTTAATTGTATAACGATCATACTACTAAGCAACTAAGAAAACATAACATTTTAACGTTTAAAATTTATCTAATAATAAACAATTTAAACTTGATTCAATCTTCGTTCAAAATTCAAGGTGAATGAGAGACATTAATGTTATCTATTAAATAATCCATAGTCATGCCAATAATATTTTCTCAGACAACACGATAATGAAAAAATAAAATGAATGTAATCATCGATTATATTTAAAAATAAAATATAACGTTATCACAAAATTATTACATAATATAATTTACAAAAATTCATTTATACAGGGTCCGGCAAAAGTGGGTCGGGCAGCTGTAACTCCTAGAATAAAAAACTTGCGAATTTTGTTTAAGTGCAACGCTAAAGTATGTACTCGGATGCATTTCAGGAAAATATTTTCACTTTTACAGGGTGGCTCAAAAAAGTGTGAGTGGATCGGGATGATTTTTTTGAACGGAACACCCTGTATATTATTGCATTTTTGGCTTCCTTTCAGATCACTTTACATAATCCTAAGATATGAGTAAATATATTTCGATAATTTGAGAGATATTAATAAATAAATAAGAAATATATATTTTTTCAGCCTTTCTGAAAAAAATTATTAAAAATACAAGAAGTGTCCTGAAACCAAAACTATATTAGGTATTTACTTTAGATGGTCTGTACTTACTTTACTATAAACATCGGAACCTTAAATCATACAGGGTATTCCAAATTCTACGCCAAACTTTCCAAAATTCAAAATAATTTTTCTTGGTTTTTTTAAATGGAACACCCTGTAGATTGACATTTTTTGTATTTAGAGTATTTCAAAATTTTTAACGGCCTCGCAGATACGTGCGGTATTATTTCGAATGGCTCTTTCAACGGTAAAATACGAGAGAAAAATCATTGGGTGGCTTTGATAAAAATTTACTCTGGAAAAGCCATATGAAATTAAAAACCGCGAATATCTACGAAACCGTTAAAAATTTTGAAATGCGCTAAATACAAAAAAATGTTCATTTTTTAATTCTGCATCTGTTAAACAAATCATATACAGAAAATAATTTTAGTTTTAATACTGAATCATGGTCTGTCATGGAAAAATAATGACAATAATATAAGTGGATAAGACGGATTTTGCTGCAGTAAGGTAATTTGTAACGAATTTTATATTTTCACTAGCGTGTACCAGCGACTTTGTTCGCGTCGAATTAATCATTTGTAATGGTGATGATAAAGCAAAGCAAGAATTTCCATTAACATACAAACTGGATAAAATTTTCTCACATTTATGTCAGCATGAGAAAAAACAATATGGCGATATTATTATATAACTTGGTAATATTTGAGGGGTAGTTTCATCTCGTTGGAATTTGACTTTCGAAAAATCCGTTTGCCATAAATAAGCTTTTTACGTGAAGCAGTTTAAGCAGAACTTTTTGGAACACCCTGTGTGATTTTTTAAAAAATTTCAAAATATGTAAAAAACCAAATAAATTATGCTTGTCCAAGCGTTTTCCCGAAAGACTAACCGTTTTTTAAATAACAAATATTGTAATATTTGAGAGGCGTGTTCACCCTCTTGGAATATGAGATTCGAGAAACCCCTCCTTATCGAACCTCTACACCCCACAGTCAATCCGTTTGCCAAAAATCTGCTTTAAACGTCGAGGAGTTTAAGCAGAATCGTGATTGCTCGATGGTCATATTTTATGAAACACCCTGTATAAATTTATAAAAATCTTAAACTATGTAAAACAACAAAATGAAATATACGTGTTTAAGAGTTTTTCCGAAAAACTCACCGGTTTTTAAATAAAAAATATTTTAATATTTGAGGGATAGTTTCACCCCCTTAGAATTCGATTTTCGAAACATCCCTTCTTATCGAACTTCTACACCCTAAAGTTAATCTGTTTTCCAACAATCAGCTTTTTACGTCAAGCGCTTTAAGCAGGATCGTGATTAATCAATGACCAGATTTTTCGAAACACCCTGTATACATTTTTAAAAAATCTTAAAATATGTAAAAAAACAAAATAAAATATACGTGTTTAAGCGTTTTTTCGGAAACTTGACCGTTTTTAAAATAAAAATATTGTAATATTTGAGGGGTGGTTTCACCCTCTTGGAACTGGAATTTCGAAAAATCCCTTCTTATCGAACCTCTACACCCTAGAATCAACCTGCATGCCAAAATTGAGCTTCTTACGTTGAGTGGTTTGAGCAGGATCGTGATTAATCAGTATGTCAGTCACTTAAGGATTTTATATATTAGTATAGACACAAAAGACGGATTTTGCTGCAGTAAGGTAATAGACAGTTAAAGCACGGCCAAAGACATAGACGTAAACGTATCGTTTGACATGTACGCTTGCGCAGTGATAAATTCACTTGCGTTTACGGATACGTGATACGTATCTTTACGTGCCTTTACGTACGTACAAAACGCAAACGTATCGAGCCGAAGGAGTTTCGATTTTCATCCGAATGATGCCGAACGTACAAATTCACAAACAACTCGTTTCCACAACTGGCTAGTAATTAAGTTATTTCATAAATTTTGGGGTCAGTGTAACAGAACTGGGCCTATTTTATTACAATAAATTAGTATGAAAATATTAAGCATCATAATAAACTCATTTTGGAATCTATTTCATTAAATGCTAGTTCTTAGCCAAAATCCATGTGAGGATTCTAAAAGATGGAATCTAATAAATAATCATAAAACTGTGTCTGTTTTACAATATTTTTATTACTAAGAGCATTTTAAGTTGTAAGGACTACTTTCTGTAATAGAATAATTTCCATTTATAATTTTCTTCATTTTTCGAACTTTTATAAATTTAATGTGGAATCAATGGAATAATAGATATCCATTTTCAGTTTTAAAATTAAATTGTTTTACAAAATAATTTAGAATTACAAATGTGTCATTTGCGTTACGTACGTCAAAATACTTGCGAAAAACTCTTGTTTACACGACAACGCAACGGCAGACGTAACGTAGGTTTCTGCGATACGTGTCGAGAGATACGTATACGTATTGTGCCTTGCTTTAACTGTCTAATTTTTAATGAATTTTATATAAGAATAGGCGAATTTTACTGCAGTTTGGGATTATGTTTATGTAGCTTTCAGAATTTCACTATTAATATATGTCATTAGGCCATTTTTTTTTAAAAATTGATAAGGCGGGTTTTGCTAATAAGACTAATGGGATAATATATTCTTTTTAAGAACGTACGCTACTGAACTGAATCTTCTCCCACTTAAAACATGCTAACTGCGAGCCTGTATAAACAAATTTGTTTTTATTTAATCATCAATTGTTGATGGATAATAACATCAGTTCTAAAGTGTACTAAAAACATCGACAGTTTACTTATACCGGTCCTCTGTAGATAGATAACAAACAGAACATATTATATTAGTGTGTCATTTTAAGTTATTTTTACTTAAAAAAACAGTGAGAAAACATGGGTTCTGTAGGACGCTTTGTGGCTTTTTCTGGACTGCTTGTTATAGCCTATTTTTTCCTGAAATCCTCTAAAATTCCACCGGTACCAACAATTGAGGAAACGTGGTGGGGTCCCGGAAGTCCAAAAAAAGAAGATGCTACCATCAAGCCCTTCAAAATCAACGTTCCAGATGAGGTAAAATTATTACTTAAATAATATCAAATTGATGAATTTTAAAAAGATTTTAAATAGTATTGCGCCATATTATACAAGATGTTTTCTAATGACGGTGAAATATTTTAGAGGGTGAGATAATTTTATGAAAAAAAAATGTACAGGGTGTCCCATTTTTGTGTGTTTTACCGGGGTTTATCGTTTACGAGTAGAGATACAAAGATGCGGTTTTCACGTCAATGTATGGCATTTCTATAGAACTAATGTCTGATCATTATTATTATTTATTGGCTATTCTAGACTAGTTTCTGTTTGCAGAAGTGTATCAAAAATATCAAATCAATCTGTAATAATGCAAAAGAACTGTAATAATGTTTAATAACGTTATACTTTTTCCTTAATTTTTTTATTCAAATCTTTTATTATTATATTATAGGTTATTGCTGATCTCGAAAATCGATTAAATACAGCACTACCATTTCAAGAACCTCTGGAAGATGCCAAACAACACTATGGAATCAACACGAAACTTCTGACCACCATCGTGGACTACTGGAAAACGAAATATAACTGGAAAAAGCGCCAGGAATTCTTGAACCAATTTCCTCAATATCAAACTCAAATCCAGGTAGATATACAGGGTTGTTCACCACATACGACACGGAGTATTGTAGCTAAACGGCTAGATTTTTGCAAATTGTAAGTTTTGGGTTCGTTGAAGGACTATTAGAGCTACAATTTAAAAATATTTTTACAAGATACAGAGTGTCCCAAATAAATAAAAAATATCAAAGTTGTATTTTTTTAAATAGAACACCCTATATATTATTACACTTTTAGTTTCTACGATTAAAATAAAGGTAAATTTGATTAAGGTTTATTACACTTAAACCTTACCGTTTTTGAAATATCTTCAATTTTGTGAAATTGCAGTATAAATTTTAAGGCTTCATTTCTCCGAGGGTATCAAAGTTTTTAATACTAAATATTTACTGAAATTTATTTATTGATCAGTTATTGTATTGCATAATAAAACTTTACTACCTTATACAGTGTCTAAAAATTTATTTTTAAATAATTACTAGCTTTTAAAGGCCAATAACTTGTTTAATTTAAATGGAACGCCCTGTATATTTTAGGAGAATCAGATGCACAATTTAATTGTCTATCAAATTGTATTACACCATTTTTACCTATCCCTTCAAGTTTTCGTGAAAATGCATTTTCTTGTAATTTTAGAACCATTTGTCAATATACCCATGGAATACTGACATTTTATATTATTTTAAAGATGTACCAAATTTTTTAAAGAGTACAGATACTAATATTGTCGATATAGTTCGTTTATTTCATTAAAAAATAAAAAAACTGTTTAAATATTTGTTAAAGAGGACCAATTAATATGATTCCAGTATTCAAACTACATTAATTGACTGTTTGCGTTGATTAATAATAATTGCTCCAAATACTAAAAAACTGAATTATGTATGTGTATTAGACAGTGTGGTAAAAAGTAACACTTTAAAAATGATATTTAATTTTTTGACACATGCTTATTTATAACAACAGAGACGTTCATTTTCATAACTTATTATTATATTGATTTCTGATTCAAATCCACCTTTATTTAGAATAATTTATTAACGAACACAATTAAGTATGTAGTTAATTAGTATTTGGGTGGAAATACTGGTGGTATATTTAATTAATGGTATACTCTTTTATAAAGATTTAAATAGTTTTCTTTTTGCATACAAATGGCCTAGTAATATTATCGTTTTACTAAAAACTATAATATTACTTGCCTGTACATTTTGTACATTTGTTATTTTAAAAACAATCTAAAATATAAATATTCCATGGGTATATTGATAAATGAGGTGTAAATTATAAGAAAATGCATTTTCTACGAAAACTTGGAGGAATAGGTAAGAAGTGGTATAATACAATTTGATAGACAATTAAATTGTGCATCTGATTCTCATAAAATATACAGGGTGTTCTATTTAAAGTAAATAAGTTATTGCCGTTTAAAGCTTGTAATTATTTAAAATAAATTTTTCGACACTCTGTATAAGGTAGTATAATTTTTATTATTGCAACACAATAACTGATCAATAAATAACCTTCAGTAAATATTTAGTATTAAAAACTTTGATATCCTCGGAGAAATGAAGCCTTAAAATTTATACTGCAATTTCGCAAAATTGAAAATATTTCAAAAACGGTAAGGTTTAAGTGTAATAAGCCTTAATCAAATTTACCTTTATTTTAATCGTAGAAACTAAAAATGCATAATATACAGGGTGTTCCATTTAAAAAAATACAACTTTGATATTTTTTATTTATTTGGGACACTCTGTTTCTTGTAAAATATTTTTAAATTGTAGCTCTAATAGTCCTTCAACGAACCCAAAACTTACAATTTGTAAAAATCTAATCGTTTAGCTACAATACTCCGTGTCGTATGTGGTGAACAACCCTGTAAACAACCCTGTAAATATGTGGTGAACAACCCTGTAAATATGTTTTTTACTAGTTAACGCTGTTATGTCCTAACGAAATGTATTTCAGGGTCTTAACATACACTTCCTTCATGTTAAACCCAAAAATGTCCCTCAAGGTGTCGAAGTACTGCCTCTGTTGCTTTTACATGGATGGCCAGGGTCCGTACGAGAGTTTTATGAAATTATACCCATTCTGACAACGCCGCAAAAAGGTACGTAGCATTTTCCGTGTAAATTAAAAAAAAGAAGTAAACCAGGAAAACACACGTTGTTTTTGTAATGTTACTGTCATTGAAAAGTCTTTCATCAATTTGATATTTTATAACTGTTATTTAAATATATTAGTTTAAATAAAATACAACAGCTTTATTATTAGCCATACAAATTAGACATTATTTAGAAAAACAACCGTCTAAAATAACAGTTTTATTAATAAATAACAGTTCAAAACTAACTAATTACTTGTTATTTTAACTATTTGTTGTTTTAAAACTGTTCTGTATAAATAACAGTCTAAAATAACAAAATTAATACAAACGTAACTGTTCAAAAACGTTATTGTTACTATATATCTAATTGCTATTTTAAAACTGTTATGTAGAAATAACTGGCTAAAATAACAGTTTAAAAAGAAGGTTGTTATTTAAGATTTGTAATTTTAATATAATAAAAATAACAAATTAAAAAGGCTGTTATCGGGATTCACGGATTTGTTATTTTGAAACTGTTATGTAGAAATAACAGTTTTTGTTGCAAAGGTTATTTAAGATTTTTTAAATATTCTTTAGGAAAAGACTTTGTCTTCGAGGTTATAGCGCCTTCATTGCCAGGTTATGGATTCTCGGATGGGGCTTCCAAACAAGGACTGCACGCAGGCGTAATGGGACAGATATTTGATAAATTGATGCGCAGACTGAAATTTTCCAAGTACTACCTGCAAGGAGGTAATAACAGCATTTCTACATTACTACATTTCCATATTTTCGCCATTTAATATTATTATTATACAGGGTGGTCCGAACTGTATTCCGGAAACTTCGGCAGCATGTTCTGCAGATAAAAATAAGTAAAAAAGTTCGTATAAATGTATATCCTAAAATCATTTTTATTTCGATTTTTTCCCAATAATTTCTGAAGTAACGACAATATTTGGATAAAAAATTGTGTTTAGGAGTTCTTTTCAATTTTCGTACCACGAATTAGGATAAGATTTTTATCTGTATACATATAGTAGGTATACCTAATCTGGGTTAGTATCTTTAGTTTCATAAAAATGTTCCTCAGTAATGTGAAAAAGCCGCATCTTTGTATCTCTACTCGTAAATGAGAAATATTGTAAATCATAGAAAAATGGGACACCCTGTGCATTTAAAGTGAAAGCTTTGTGCTATTTCACAGGTGACTGGGGATCATTGATAGCCCAGGACATGTCAGTCCTCTATGCGGACCGTGTTATTGGCGTACACTCAAATATGTGCAACACTCAGAACGCTTTAGGAAACTTGCAGCTCTTCGTAGGAGCTTGGTTTCCATCGCTGGCATTGGACAAAACTGAAGCTGAAAGGAACACTCCTTTGTCAAGTTTCTATGGCAATATCTTGCTGGAAAGCGGATACATGCACTTGCAGGCAACCAAACCAGACACTGTAGGTAAGTATACAGGGTTGTTCATCACATACGACACGGAGTATTGTAGCTAAACGATGAGATTTTTACAAATTATAAGTTTGGGGTTCGTTGAAGGACTATTAGAGCTACAATTTAAAAATATTTTTACAAGATACAGAGTGTCCCAAATAAATAAAAAATATCAAAGTTGTATTTTTTTAAATGGAACACCCTATATATTATTACATTTTTAGTTTCTACGATTATAATAAAGGTAAATTTGATTAAGGTTTATTACACTTAAACCTTACCGTTTTTGAAATATCTTCAATTTTGCGAAATTGCAGTATAAATTTTAAGGCTTCATTTCTCCGAGGTTATCAAAGTTTCTAATACTAAATATTTACTGAAGTTTATCTATGGATCAGTTATTGTGCTGCAATAATAAAAACTTTACTACCTTATACAGAGTGTCTAAAAATTTATTTTAAATAATTACTAGCTCTAAACGGCAATAACTTGTTTAATTTAAATGGAACACCCTGTATATTTTATGAGAATCAGATGCATAATTTAATTGTCTATCAAATTGTATTATACCATTTTTTACCTATCTCTTCAAGTTTCCGTAGAAAATGCATTTTCTTGTAATTTAGAACTCATTTATCAATATACCCATGGAATACTGACATTTTAGATTGTTTTTAAAGCAACAAATGTACAAAATGTACAGACTAGTAATAGTATCGTTTTTAGCAAAACGATAATATTACTAGCCCATTTGTATGCAAAAAGAAAACTATTTAAATCTTTATAAAAGAGTATACCATTAATTAAATATAACACCATTATTTCCGCCCATATACTAATTAATGACATACTTAACTGTGTTCGTTAATAAATTATTATAAATAAATGTGGATTTGAGTCAGAAACCAATATAATAATAAGTTAACAAATTAAAGTATCTGTTGTTATAAATAAGCATTATTTATTAAAATATGAAATATCATTTTTAAGGTGTTACTTTTTATCACACTGTCTAATGCCCATACAAAATTCAGTTTTTTAGTATTTGGAGCAATTATTATTAATCAACGCAAACAGTCAGTTAATGTAGTTTGAATACTGGAATCATATTAATTGATCCTCTTTAACAAATATTTAAACAGTTTTTTTTATTTTTTAATGAAATAAACGAATTATATCGACAATATTAGTATCTGTACTCTTTAAAAATTTGGTATCTTTAAAAATAATCTAAAATGTCAATAGTCCATGGGTATATTGATAAATAAGTTCTAAATTACAAGAAAATGCATTTTCTACGGAAACTTAAAGAGATAGGTAAAAATGGTATAATATAATTTGATAGACAATTAAATTGTGCATCTGATTCTCGTAAAATATACAGGGTGTTCCATTTAAATTAAACAAGTTATTGCCGTTTGAAGCTAATAATTATTTAAAATAAATTTTTAGACACTCTGTATAAGGTAGTATTATTTTTATTATTGCAACACAATAACTGATCAGTAAATAAACTTCAGTAAATATTTAGTATTAAAAACTTTGATACCCTTGGAGAAATGAAGCCTTAAAATTTTTACTGCAATTTCACAAAATTGAAAATATTTCAAAAACGGTAAGGTTTAAGTATAATAAATCTTAATCAAATTTACCTTTATTTTAATCGTAGAAACTAAAAATGTAATAATATGCAGGGTGTTCCATTTAAAAAAATACAACTTTGGTATTTTTTACTTATTTGGGACACTCTGTATCTTGTAAAATTATTTTTAAATTGTACCTCTAATAGTCCTTCATCGAACCCAAAACTTACAATTTGTAAAAATCTTATCGTTTAGCTACAATACTCCGTGTCGTATGTGGTGAACAACCCTGTATAAAATTATTATTCTACAAATAATTATTGATCCTCAAAAATAATGATTCAGATTGATGCCACCTATACAGGGTGGTCCGAACTGTAGGTATTCCGGAAACTTCGGCAGCATATTTTACAGATAAAAATAAGTAAAAAAGTTCGTATAAATGTATGTCCTAAATGCTTAGTTTCAGAGATACAGGGTAGAGAAGTTTCTTTTTTATTTCGCTTTTTTCCAAATAATTTCTGAAGTAACGTCAATATTTGGATTAAAATTGGTGTCTGGGAATTTTTTGACATGAGAAATTTGATTTTGATGTCAATATAATTGCTATTTGTAGGGGGCGCCACCTACGTGTGTTTTAACTGTTTTGAAGAGTAATAACTTTTCGTCCGTACCTGTATAAAATTACTGGGTGAAAAAATATACATTTCCGTGATTTTTTATGTAAAAAATATCTCTTGGTACAAATCGCTACGAGCAACCGTTCTCAAGATATTTAGAATGGAAATAGACAATACACCAGTGGCGGACTAAGGGGGGGGGGAAGAGGTGGTCCGCCCAGGGCCCCGTCTAATATTTCTCAAAAACGGTTAATGTTAGGTATAGAGTATTTAATATTAAAATTCATAAAATTTTACAGAGAATTTAAATGTAATAAAAATTGGAACATCTATTTAAAATAAGAAAGTTGCTGTCAACTTCCGGTACTTCCGGAAGTGTCGCAATAGTGAAAATATTTTTAATCGATAGAAACAATTATATGCAAAAAATCTCGGATGTAGATATTGTAGTTCCCTAGAAACTTCTAATGCAGGCTCAGCCTGGGACACCCTGTATAAATACTTGAATTTTGTCAACCATTATACATGCGTCATACAATTTTTACAAAATGTGTATTAGAAGTATATCATTATCTGAACAGACCGAGGGCCACATTTAGCTTCGCCGCCCCTGGCCCCCGACAGGCTTAGTCAGCCACTGCAATACACGTCATTAATGACAAAAAATAAACAACGCCGAATAGATAGTTATCTGACTGAAATGATAAATTTAGGAACTTTTTATTTTTTAAATTAATCATATTTTTTTTCCGAAAAAATGATTATCAAAATGAAAATGAAACTTCTACACCCTGTATCTCCAAAACTAAGCATTTTAGGACATACATTTATACGAACTTTTTTACTTATTTTTATCTGGAAAATATATTTCCAAATTTTTTCTATTCAATTTCTATCACCCTGTAGATAAAACTTGTTATAGGTGTGGCCTTAAGTGACAGTCCGGTCGGTTTGGCTGCCTATATAATAGAAAAATTCACCACGTGGACAAATCCAGCTTGGAAAGACCTGGAAGATGGTGGTCTGACCAAGAAGTATACTCTGGACAAGCTTCTTGACAACGTCATGATCTACTGGGTGTCCAGATCGATCACTACCTCTGTGAGGTTGTATTTGGAGAATTTCAGTGCGACAAGAAGAAACTTAGACTTAGATTCGTAAGTACATTACAATAATCTAATAGCGACTACAGACAGACAGGGTGGCGCCTCTCATACGCCGCGGAAGATCCAAGGAGAACGGTAGTTTATATCGAAATGAAATCTTGGCAACATATGTAGGTTAACTGAAAATATATAAAATTATACAGGGTGTCCACAAAAAGAGTTACACATCAAAGTTGTGTTTTTTTTTTCTAATAATCACACCCTATATATTAATTAATTTTCGGATTCTAGGCAAAAAATAAAGATAAGTTTTATTAGAGAAGCATATACCTAAAATCTAAGGATTCTGACATATATTTCACATTTTGTGAAAATGAAGAGTATAAATTTTAAATTTCGATGACATGCTACGTAAATTTTAGTTGACCTTGTATAGACTGATATTTAACTACAGTAACCATTGTATGTTAAACCAAATTGAAATTTGACCCGAAAAGTTATACAGGGTGAGACAAAATTATTATGGAATATTAGTCACTTTTAAAACCAAGTTACTCCTTTATTTTAAATGGAACACCCAGTATATTTTTCCGGTGTTCAATGGGGAATTTATATATCTTCAAAATATTATTAAGGTTGCTTATCCCTCAGATAAAGATTTTCCTAGATATTTTAATTTTTATGATTTTGCGTCAAGATCTTTATTATTTGAAAAAATCTAGGGTGGCTGTGATATACCTTTTGTTAATTTAACAAAAATTAAAGATTGTAGAGTAAAATACCCAACGGTAATAAAAAGATACACGTTTAAAACATATTTTAATTATTACAGAATTAAAACTAGATATATAAACCTATAATTATGTGACAAAAATTAGCTAGATGAAATCAAATGCTCAAGATGCTTCCTTTCATGTTAACTGCATAAAATGATTGTATTTTCAAAATGTAAGAGTCTTGTTTTCCGTTAAAAATTTGTTTATATTAAATTGTGTTATTTTAAGAAATAATATTTTATTTGAATCTCTAATTGACTTTTCTTGACCGCATGTATACAATGTCGTTTCCTAGACGATGCGGTTTGCATTGTTGATGATTATTTTGACTGACGTCGCCATTTATCAAAAAAATATTAAATTCAGATTATAATTGTGTGGAAAATATTTCTGGGACTGAATAGAAGGAATGAAGTATTATACAGGTGAGTGTATTTTGTTCACTCACGGGTATTACTGGAATTTGTGTGAGAGTATTTTAATATTATTTAATTTACAGTTATTACTGAGTTATAGTAGTAGATAGAAAATGGTATTTTAGTATTACTTTTGTGTGTGAGTGTATTTTGTTCACTCACGGGTATTACTGGAATTTGTGTGAGAGTATTTTAATATTATTTAATTTACAGTTATTACTGAGTTATAGTAGTAGATAGAAAATGGTATTTTAGTATTACTTTTGTGTGAGAGTGTATTTTGTCCATTCACGGGTATTGCTAGGATTTGTATGAGAGTATTTTAATATTATTTAGTTAACAATTATCACTGAACTTTAGTAGTAGATAGTAAAGGGTGTTTTAGTATTACTTTTGTGTGTGTGTGTTTTATAGTAGACAAGTATTTATCAAAGAGCATTTTAATATTATTTAGTTAAAGGATAGATGTTTATCAATGAGTGTTTTAGTGTTATTTATTGTCGTTACGGAACAACATTAAGCTATGTCGCTTTTGGGCCATGCCTATATGTAGGTGAGACGCCTTCTGGCCTAAGCTACGACTATGTCGCTTTTGGGCCATGCCTATATGTAGGTGAGACGCCTTCTGGCCTAAGCTACGACTATGTCGCTTTTGGGCCATACCTATATGTAGGTGAGACGCCTTCTGGCCTAAGCTACGACTATGTCGCTTTTGGGCCATGTCTATATGTAGGTGAGACGCCTTCTGGCCTAAGCTACGACTATGTCGCTTTTGGGCCATGCCTATATGTAGGTGAGACGCCTTCTGGCCTAAGCTACGACTATGTCGCTTTTGGGCCATGCCTATATGTAGGTGAGACGCCTTGTGGCCTTAGATACGGTACAATAACAAACATATTTAACTATTTTATATACTCGATTATGGTAATGTGATTGTGTGCGTTTTCCAGTGATGCTCAAGTATATTTTATTTTTATAGATTGCAAAACACGTAATATATATTTCAAGGAGTGAGAAGTATTGTGCAGATCAGGCATTCAAGGTAAGTTTGGCTTCTTTTATTTATGTTGATTGAATATTAAATTGATGTTAACACCATTCATATATTATGCTATATAAACAAAAAAAAAAATATTATATTTTTCTTACTCGCTCTTACAAAAAGGATCTTTTCATTTTAAAAGGCATATGTGGAGTTCTACCTCGAAAAGCAGCTACAATAATTTCTCTCATGTTGTAGACAATAGTTGGTCGAGTTTTGTAAACACTGTCTTTAACATATCGCTATAAAAAAAAACCAGACTAGATAAAATCAAGAGCATTTAAGTATTCTATTAATTGGTGAATGCACACTGCATTCACCAACTAATAGAATCATATCATTTCTCTCTGATGTAGGATAAGTTTGCATTTTCGACAATTTTTTAAGATTTTTTTTTTGATCTGACACAATATGATAACTAGTTGTTAAAGTTGGACTAATTAGACAGCTATGTTGAAGTAACGTCAGACATATCACCGCCACCTAGATTTTATCAAATAATAAAGACCTACTCAGATCAAATCATGTAAATGAAAATATCTAGGAAAATCTTTGTTTGAAGGGTAGGCAACCTTAATAATATTTTGATGAAACATGAATTCTCCATTGGATATCGGAATAATATACTGGGTGTTCTATTTAAAATATAAGAGTAACATGCTTTTAAAGGTGACCAATGTTCAATATTAATTTTGTCTCACCCTGTATAACTTTTTGGATCAAGTTTTAGTTGGATTTAAAGTACAATAGTTAATTTAACTACATATTAAGTTATACCGAATAAACTACAATTTAGGTAGCTTTTATTGTAATTTAAAAATTGTTGTTTATTTCTAGAAAATGTTAAATATATCAAGAACCTTACATTTTAGTCATATACTTCTCTTATAAAACTCATCGTTATTTTTTTCCAAGAATCCGAAAATCAGTTAATGTATAGGGTGTCCCATTACAAAAAACACAACTTTGATATGTAACTTTTTTTTAGGGACACCCTGTAGGACTCTCTATATTTTTAAAAAGTGCTCTGAATTAAACTACATATGCTCACAATTTTCATTTCATTACAACTGTCGTTCTTCTTGGAGCCTCTGCGGCGTATGAGAGGCGCCACCCTGTACAGGGTCCGGCAATAGTGCTAGAATAAAAAACTTAGAAATTTTGTTTAAAAACCTAAAATATATATTAGGATGTATTTTTGAATATAATTTAACCTCTACAAAGTAGCTTATAAAAGTGTGAGTGGGTCGGGATGATTTTTTTTAAATAGAACACCCTGTATATTATTGCATTTTTGGCTTCTTTTTAAATCATTTTACATAATCCTAAGGTATGAGTTAATACATTTTGATAGTATTCAGAGATATTAATAAATAAATATCAAACATATTTTTTTCAGCCTTTCTTAAAAATATTATTAGGTTTTTTTATACTGAACACCCTGTATATTATTTTTTCAATAGATGGAGAATTAAAAAATGAACAACAAAGTTTATGTTAATTTAGTAAGAAATAAAAGTTAATATATAGGGTGTTTCAAAACAAATGCGAAAAACTTTAGGGGGTGATTCCTTGTTCAAAATAAAGGGTAGTTTGCTTTATAAACGTTGGGTCAAAAGTCAACCATTAGGGAGATATCGCGGTACAAAGATGGCGGAAAAATAATGTTTTTATTTTTTATCTTGAAAACGAAAAGAGATAGACTGGTCGAGCTTTATTAGCCAAAGCAGTGAAAATCATTGCGTATATTTTTAAATGAAGGGTTGAATTACTCCTCTATCATCTTGTTAACGAATTTTATCAAACATGCAGTCGCATTTGAGGTTTAGTTTAGAAACTTTGTTTCTTAGCTTGATAAAACTCACTATTGGAAATTAAAAATAAATGTAAAAGCATTACATGTCAGGACAAAAACATTTTTAGATCAAGAATCTAGTGATAATAACGATAATAATAATCATCTAGATAATAACGTATTGCAGAGTAATGTCAAATAAAATAATATTAGGAACATCCTAAAAAGTAACAGCGGCCGACTAGATTTTTTCCTAAAAAAATTACAGCAGCCCACTAGATTCTTTATCAGAAAATGTTTTTTGTCCTGACATGTAATGCTTTACATTTTATTTTTTAATTTCAAATCGGTGAGTTTTATCAAAAAAATACAAGAGATAAAAAAGTTTCTAAACAAACTAAACTATCCAAATTAAGGCATTTGCATGTGTTTGATAAGATTTTTCTTTAAATTTCGGTAACAAGAATGATAGGGGTAGTTTATTTCAACACCTTCCACTCATTTTAAAAAAGTGAAAAAATTACCAGAAAGTGTGTTTTCATAACAGTGATGCTTCCATAAAATTTTATTAGTCTATCTCTTTTCGTTTTCAAGTTAAAAAATAAAAACATTATTTTTCCGCCATCTTTGTACCGCAATATCTCCCTAATGGTTGACTTTTGACCCAACGTTTATGAAGCAAATTACCCATTATTTTGAACAAGGAATCACCCCCTGAAGTTTTTCGCATTTGTTTTGAAACACCCTGTATATTAACATATTTGTTGCAGTATCCCCATAACTGTGCCCAGCGGTTGCAGTCGTTTCAAGCACGAACTTATCTATCCCATAAAGGCAGTACTGAAAGGAAGGTACAAGCAACTTATCTCTGTGGATGACCACGACGACGGTGGACACTTTGCTGCCTTCGAGTTGCCGGAAGTACTTGCCAAGGACGTGTTTAATTTTGTACAAAAAGTCAGAGCATTACCCAAACAAAAACAGGAGTTGTAAAAAGATAAATAGGAGACTTATGCCCCGACCCCATTAGCCAACACGCTACGTCATGCGATGCCATGCTGCCCCACGTCATGTAGATCAGTGCGTATGTTTTTCCATTTAATTACATGTATTGCGTACACACTAGGCAGCACGCCACGCCATCCGACGCTATAACACGCTATGACACGTGTGATGGTCGATTCGTCGGTCCCATTTCGTAGGTAACCCTACTGATAACGTTTTTTACTCTAATTAAAATTTCAGGCGTGTTAACACGTGTTACATAGTATGTACATGCACACATTCCCACGTCGCAACACGTGGGATAGCGTGGCATCGCGTGGCATCGCGTGGCATTGCGTCAGGTGTTGGCTAATGGGGTCCCGGCTTTAGAGACGTATATGGATAAGTTGGAGTGTTATTGTTACGATTTTTAATAAAAATAAATAAAAAATTAAAGAAAAAATTATATATTTGTTACATTTTTAATTTTATCCTCTTCAAATTTTCCTTTTACTTACTTTAAAAAAGTAATGAATATACAGGGTTGTTCACTACATACGAAACGGAGTATTTTAGCTAAACGATTAGATTTTTTCAAATTGTAAGTTTTGAGTTTGTTGAAAGAACATTAGAGCTACAATTTAAACATAATTTAAAAAATACAGAGTGTCCCAAATAAATAAAAAATATCAAAGTAGTTTTATTTTTTTAAATGGAACACCCTGTATATTATTACATTTTTAGTTTCTAGGATTAAAATAAATGTAAATTTGATTAAGGTTTACCGCATTGTAATCTTACCGTTTTTGAAACAGTTAGGTTTTTGTCAAAATGGGCGTATTTTTAATCATATCTCAATTTTTTCAAATGGAACGAGGGTGGTCATTAGCATATTTGGAAAAAGCATTTTTTTACGAATAATTTGATACCACACACTTGGTATTTCGAGTCAAATTTTCGTTACGAACCGCAACTTATAATTTCAAATAAACCATATTATGCGAAAATGTCAAAAGTTGACATATGATATGTCATTCTATTCAGAGTAAAATACCGAGGGTGCCAATTCAAAATCAAAAGTTGTAGTCATTTTCGGTGAAACAGGAAGTAACCGAAAACAATTGAATCCGTCAATCAATCCTAATTTATGTCATATATTAATATACCAAATCTCGTTTGTTTAACTGAAAAAATAAAGCAGTTATAAGGGTGAGCCCGTTTTGAGCCCGTTACCTTAGCAAAAGATTTAGTAAAATAAAACTCAGTTTAATTGATGAGCAACATTTAATTCAACAAGCACACATATACACACTCAGCCGTAATAAATAACGTTAATAACATAAACCCTTCCTTATCCCTTCAATCCGGTCAAGGCAAGGGCCAGGGCAATCCAGAAAAATCCACAGGTCCTCCCAATCCAGCGTCAGCTTCGAGCAGGCTCATGATCACAGCCATGGCCGCCTCGTCGTTCCCTTCCTGGCTCGTGTGATGCTGCTGAACCGGTCCCGAAGCACATCCAGGGACTGGATTCAACATGTCCGCGACAAAACCCGAAGAGGATCCTTCGGCAGGACTCGGTCCAGCGCCTAGAACTAGCGGTGAGTACTTGCGATGAGTATCTGGCGGTATCGAGTAGCTAACATCGACTTTGAGCTTTTTTAACTGGGGAGATACTGGGTAAAGCGTGTGGGGCAGGGGGTATTTGGCAACATAGGGATAGTCTACAACAAAAGCGGTTGGGTTGAGCGTGCGGGTGTGTTTACCAGGGTCGGGCATCATCGATGTTTGCGGCTGTTGTTGCTGCGGTAGCGGTAGTTGTAACGGTGCCACGTTGATATCGGCGAAGTCTGCCATGGTGTCGTCCCTGGCGACGGGGATGGAGTATTGGTCTTGGAGGGTGGAGGTGAAGTCTGGCAACACTGGAGGTGGAGGGGTGGTGTAGAGGTCGCAGGGTTGGATGTTGCTGGTGGATGGTATGTGTGTCTGAAAAGAAGATGTTAGTATAAATGTTAAGGTGGCTACACACACTACTGCAAGCTTGACAAGCATGCATGAACAATCTTTTTGTACAAGCCATGCATAATTTACCTTCGCCGCCACACGGTACATACATTCTTGAACAAGCTTCAGTTTATGCCGCGAAAAAGAAGAAGGAAGTCCGAAGAAAAAGAAGAAGGAAGTCCGCGAAAAAGAAGAAGGAACCCTGAAGGCATTTATCTTTTTAATAACGGCATTCTTATCGGCTTGGCTGTCAATTAATCTATACTTATTAAGTAAAATTTTGTATGCTGCATCCTTCTTCACCCTATCATGATATTCTGGTGATTTAATTCGCCAAAGACACGGCTAATTTTCGTATGCGCGAATAAAATCTTCCAATAATCCTCGATTGCTCCTTTTCAGATCGCTAGACATGATGGCGACGGGACGTACAGGTCATTTAAGATCACGGACTGAACTAATTGTTTGTACAAGCTGAATACATGTGGTACACACGTATCGTTTCGCTTGCGCAAGCATGGCTTGTCCAAGCTTGTATGATTCAAATTCAATCAATCACCAAGCGGCTTGCACAATTAAAATGCTTGCGCAAATTTTCCCTACAGACGCTACATTTTGCTTGTACAAAAAGATTGTTCATGCATGCTTGTCAAGCTTGCAGTAGTGTGTGTAGCCACCTTTACAATGAAAGTCGGAAATACAGAAAATGTACACACAATCATAACAAACAAGCACTAGGACAGTAATGGCAAATAACGTGTCACTGCTGACACGCATCTTCAAAGATAAAAAAATTCATAATTGAAATATTTGTTTCTCATTGGCCAGAGTTGGTTTTTAATAATTATTCTTCTTCTTACAGTGCCACACTCTATATAGAGCGTCGGCTACCTCTCGCATGTACTTGTGATGTGTGTCATCAGTGTTTCACAAGTACACGGGACCTACAGTTTATTGCCGAATCCGAACGGCATATTTGAGAGGCTGTACAAGGCAAATATACTCAATGTGGTTTGCCATTGCCTTCCTTGAGGTGGCGGCTCGTTGGTCGCTCTATTTAGATAAATAAATATTTTTATTTAAATAAATAAAGCGACCGTACTGGCTGGGGATCGAACCCAGTACCTTCCGCTCCGCAGATCGACACATTAACGCTGGAGCTACGGCCGGCCACAACATTATTATTAATTATACACATAATTATTATTAATTTATTATTATTAGCAGGGATGTGTAGGTAGAAAATTTTATATTTTCTACCGTATTTTCTACACGTAGAAAATTAATTTTCTACACCAACTAATTTGCTACATTTTTTACATGTCCAGACGTAGAAAATTAGTTTTGTATATTGTAAGCCTTTTTTTTATTTCAAATACTTCAATCACAATTACGATTAGTACAAGAAATAAACTTATAACGATATATCTAATTGTTATTTATTATTTAACAAATGGATAGTATATATCATGTCAAAAAAAAGCTTAACTAATAAATTCGATATTATTTTAAATTGATATGTGAGGGAGGATGCGTGACAGTGACTGCTGTGTCATAATTCACAGGCATATTGTATTTTCTGTCATTTTCTGAATGTCCTTTGTCGAAATCTTCCTTGATTTGTTACACTTTATAGTCGAAGTTTACTTTACTAATTATTTTTAATACTAATTATTATCAGATTAATTAGTTTTATAACCGTTCATTTATTATTCAATTTAAATAATGAGCACGTGCCTCGATATTTGTCAAATTTCTCGTTTCCCCGATATTTGACACATTTGACATTGACGTTTGCTGCTGGGGGCTCTCGGATCTTTGCAGGTCCGTAACTTGATCTACTATTTCACGACCAATCTTGCTTGCTTCCACTTGAGTGTTGATCAATCTCTGTATGTTTTGTTCAGTAGCTAAAAACAATAATAATAAATATTGAATTAATTTGGTAATAACGTAAGAAACGGCGTCAAAGAATGCTGGGAAATGACCGTCTTTGGTGCCTTTCTTTCGATCATACGGTATACTAATATTTTATACAATTTTTTTGGAAAATATAACTACCCTCAATTATTTCTGGCATAGTACCATAGTAGAAGGAAAAGAGTAGTTGCACTCTCCCAAATATATTCTGCCAGTTTTTACAATCTGTCGAATATCGGCAGATTGCAGAGCGTTTCAGTTGAGTTCCGTCCGTCGAGCTGCGAGGTTCGAGCGTTGCGTCCCAGCACAGAGACGGATTGACAAAAAAAGAGTGTCTTACTGTGTGCTGCTATTGGTAGCAGTAATAATTCAAAAAATTGTACTTTGAGTTTTTTTTGAGAGTCATTTGTAATCATGCTTGTGTTCAGGTTAATTTTCTCATGACTGATTACTACTTAGTAATTTGATATTATTTTCATTCAAACCTCAATTTTGATCGATATTACTTTTGACAACCATCCCTTGCTTGCTGTTTAATGAACTGCACCATCATTGAAAAAAAAATTGCTAGTATGGAAAGTACCGAAAAAAAACTGGAAATACCGGTTCCTTAGAGGCATGTACCAAAATTACCGGTTCCGAGAAACAGCTCGGGTTGCGGAAATGCTATAACGTACCATAACCGTGAATCACCCTATACAGGGTGAGTATTAAACAAGTGCAAATATTTTTAGGGGTAGTATATTTTGGTCCCAGAAATATGAGGATGTTTCTGTGCAATTTTTTTTTGAAAAGAAAATCTGGATTTTTTTTTAGTTTTTAGTTAAAAAACATATTTTCTTGCTAATATGGTGACTAGGGTTCAAAACCGGAAATTCCCGGTTCTTTTGAGATATCAAAATACATTTTGAGTTGAAAACATTTCTCAGAGGCTGTTTGATATAATGAAAACTATAAAATTTGACCACCCATGTGAGAAATTTCCTCTTATTTACATCATTAAATTATTTATTAGATTGAAAATATTTTATGCATTAAAGTTTACAAAAAATAAAGATTTATATAGTCGAAAAAAGTCCGATAGAACCAATAGAAATGTAACTATTTTGTCACATCTTTAATTAAATTTTGTTAAATAAATTAATTTTTTATTCTATAAATATCTTTTTTTTTCCTAATCTCCTACGAGCTGATATAATATGACGAGCAATCTATTAAATTACTGTGAGATTATACAGAAAAGTCCACAGACTTCGAGACATAGAAAAATCAAGTCCATTTAGCGTGTGTCCAAATTTTGACAAGTTTTCAAAAATGACAGTTTTGTTTAGACTGAGGTTTAATTTCACCTAACTTCTCGGTAAATGATTTCTTTTTATGGGGGTACATAAAATCTAAAATTTACGGCCATGAAGAAATTCAAAACTTGGAGCAGTTAAGGCAGAAAATATTTAATGCCTTTGACACTGTCACCCCTGATATGTTATCCAATGTGAGGAGGGGATTTTATGATCGTTTGGGTTATTGTTTAATGCAAGAGGGAGGCACTTTTGAACAATTTTTGTAATTTTTTAAATTTCATTATCCTGTTTTTTTACCGTTTACCCATTACCTACCTTGACGAACATAGGAAAACGAAGGTACTTTTCGGGACCACAAATATTTTGATTGAGAAAATTGGTAACTTTTTTTTGGATTAAAAAACAAAAGTTGTTAATATAATACCAATTTAAAAGTGTTTTAGTAGTTTTAATACACACTATGATATAAAATTTATTATTATTATAATGTACATTATTAATACTATTGTTCATTCGAAATGGCATTAAGGATCAATTGCAACAATGATTTAAATTTTTCTTAAAGATAAGTAGAGCTTAGAATGAGCTGTATTTATATTTACTTTAATATTCACCTTAAATGAGGGAATTTGACTGATACAATTTTTGAATTTGAATTGTTTTTAATGATACTAACAATTTTAGTTCAATTTTTAATAAAATTTATTTAATATTAATAGAAATCCAAGAGATTTGAAACCTCTTTTAGCGATTTATAACATTCTCAAATGAATTACAGGTGCCCTTATTTTCTATGAAAATCACACAGCTTTTTTTAATAGTCGCTGCAGTTGCTATAGCTATAAAAAACGAATTTTTTAAGGTGTGAAAATTGCGACACACGCTAAATGGACTTGATTTTTCGTATGTATGGACCTTTTTGTATGCCTCGATAACATATTGGTGCAGATTATTTTCACCCAAACAAATAATAACCCAAACTATACATTGATGCGGATTGTCTATGAACTCTTTCTGAAGGTCACAGAAACCTGAACGCGTAATTCGGTGTCCTTTCGCAGCTGTTGTAGGTAATTTGTGACAATGTGTTGTTCAATGTATTAGTTATCCAATGAAAATCACCTAACCGATATATTACTACAAAACAAACACATTAATGTTAAAATTAAACTTGTTTCAAATTAAAAAAAAGTTGCAGAAAATATCTGAAATAGATAGTCATTATATATTTTCTCCGCATTTCCTCCTATCAGAAGATTTTCAGATACAGAAGAATTGTTACTTACACGAAATGTGAAAATATTCTGTTTTCAAGCAAATTTTTACTTGATGATCAATTTTTTTTATTTTATTTTATTGTGAACTCATATTTTCCTAAATACATCTTTGTGAAACTATGGCGAGTGCCACGACTATACTTTGCCTAGTTATAGACTACGACTATACAGCTACGTCAGTGGTCACGGGACGCGAGAACAAGGTCATATAAAGTGGCAGAAAAAGAACAAAGGATTTGACAAGGAGTAAAGCTACTAGTTTCCTTATACTATGATAGTACCTACTTTGTTTGTACTTACGATTAGTAAAAAAGTCATACATGTCCTGCGAGACTTGTGTACCACTTGCGGTACTCTCCTTATTGCGAAAATCACTTCTAAACAGAATACAAAACCAAAAATTAGAGACCCATTTACAATTTGTGATTAATACACGAAAACTTACACCACTAGTGTATTCTTGGCCATCATATATTCGATTTCTTTCGTCCAAGGATTCATAAACTGTCTCCAATCGGTCTCTAAACGTATATAATTTCCTTCCTTTGTACGAAACCTGTAAAAAGAAATAAAAAATCAAATATATCCGAGGACTTGGTGGATAGATCTGTCAACACTGTCTGGAAATTAAGGACTTACCTGTAAATGCCAGTGTGAACAAACTCTGTAGTTTTCAACGCCATCTTGTGTCGTTCTGCTACTGCAGATATATCGTCTTGGTGATAATACTCGTACATACTGGTACCTAGTAGCTCTTGAGGTACAAATCCCAAAATCAAAGTGGCACTAAAAAAAGAAACGTTAAAAAGAACATTAAAAAAAGAAATTTACTTATATTAATTTCTTAACAACAACCACTTTCTGAGACACTAACTAAACAAAATAAATTATGCGTGTCCAAGCGTTTTCCCAAAAGACTAACCGTTTTGAAAAAAGAAATATTGGGCACTAAAAAAAGAAACGTTAAAAAAGAACATTAAAAAAAGAAATTTTCTTATATTAATTTCTTAACAACAACCACTTTCTGAAACACCAACTAAACAAAATAAATTATGCGTGTCCAAGCGTTTTCCCAAAAGACTAACCGTTTTGAAAAAAGAAATATTGTAATATTTGAGAGTTTTTCACCCTCTTGGAATTTGAGATTCGAGAAACCCCTCCTTATCGAACCTCTACACCCCACAGTCAATCCGTTTGCCAAAAATCAGCTTTAAACCTCAAGCAGTTTAAGCAGAATCGTGATTACTCAATGGTCATATTTTATCAAACACCCTGTATAGATTTTTAGAAAATCTTAAAATATGTAAAACAACAAAATAAAATATACGTGTTTAAGAGTTTTTCCGAAAAACTCACCGGTTTTTAAATAAAAAATATTCTAATATTTGAGGGGTGGTTTCACCCCCTTAGAATTCGAATTTCGAAAAATCCCTTCTTATCGAACCTCTACACCCTAAAGTCAATCTGTTTTCCAAAAATTAGCTTTTTACGTCGAGCGCTTTAAGCAGGATCGTGATTAATCAATGACAAAGCTTTTTCGAAACACCCTGTATACATTTTTAAAAAATCGTAAAATATTTAAAAAAACAAAATAAAATATACGTGTTTAAGCGTTTTTTCGGAAACTTGACCGTTTTTTAAATAAAAAATATTGTAATATTTGAGGGGTGGTTTCACCCCCTTGGAACTGGGATTTCGAAAAATCGATCCTTCTTATCAAACCTCTATACCCTAGAATCAACCTGTATGCCAAAATTGAGCTTCTTACGTTGAGTGGTTTGAGGAGGATCGTGATTAATCAGTGAGTCAGTCACTTAAAGGTTTTATATATACAATATATAGTATAGATATATCATTTAAGATTCACCCTGTATAGTTTTTATAATAAACAGTTAGTTTCAGTATACTCGGTGTATTTAAAGACCGTAACCGCTACTTACTTTTGATCAACAAAGGTGAATTTCCCATCAAGAGCATGCCTAGAAACGAACTGGATAGGTGCTGCATTAGGATGATGGTTCGCAGCCACTGTTGAAATGTGAGGAAGTATTCTACCTATGGCCACCAAACAGCACAAGTTGCATCCGGTGTCCATATCCGGATCGTCGTGTTTTTCCAGTCCAATCTGTGCTGGCGGCCATGATTTTAAATAGCCCGTGCAATGGATCACACTGTATTTCCTTTCGGCAGCCAACTGTTTGTTTTTTCTGCGATTACCGGCTGTTGTTGATGTCTCTGCTTCATCCTTTTTTTGTGGTTCTGTTCTGCTCCTCATTCGGCAGAAAAATGATCTTCTTGCACCTAGACAGCATAGAAATTACTACAACAGTTAGTTTATCGTATAAATATCAAAGAAATACTAAAAATGATATATGAAACAAACAATATGAAATATGAAACATAAAATGAAATTTTGAAACGTATTAAGTATTAATATGTTTAACATTTTGATATAAACTTCACAGTTTAAACAGCTTAATTAATCGTGATATGTGAAACATGAAATATAAAACATAAAACAATAAATCCGGGTGTGCACTCTACATTGTATAGGTTCTAGAACAATTAATTAGCTCTGAAAATTTATCCTACGAATATATCAAAGCAATATTAAAAATTCCATATGAAACAAAAAATATGAAATATGAAACACCGAGTGAAATTTAAAATATATTAGTCGTGATATTGTGAAACATAAAATATGAAACATAAAACATTACATCATTGTGTGCGCATTGTAGGTTCTAGAACAGTTAAATAAAACTCTAAAGGGATATCCTAGGTGTATCAAAGTGAATGATAAAATTATATATAAAATATTAAATATGAAATATAAAACAGAAAAATGTGAAATATAAAATATTAAATGCAAAAGAGAATTAGATACATAAAATATTAATCATGAGATAAGAAAAGTCAGATATAAAATATGAAACAAAAAGTTTTAAATATAAAACAAAAAATAATAGTAGGCTATGGAAAATTATAAATGAAATAAAATTAGGAATCAGAAATATTAATTATAAGACAAAAAACGTCGGAACTAAAATACGAAACAAAAAATTTTAAATGTGAAACATAAAATATTATTTTTTTTTAATTTTGAAACATTAAATACAAACAAAATTATCAACATACCAACAGTTAATTAAGCCTGAAAAATTATGCTAGTAATATCAAAAGAATGTGTCCAATGATATATGAAACAAAAATTATAAAATATAAAACATTAATGCCAAATGAAACTTGAAACAGATTAAATATTAATATGTTTTTTAAAGAGTTTTGATTAAGTTTTACATTGTTAAATAATTGTGATACATTAAGTCCTCTTCAGCACTTCATCCGGTATAGATAGATTCTTCTGGCACCTACACAGCGTAAAAATTTCTACAGTAGTTAACTAAAACCCTGAAAAGATATCTTAGGTATATCAAATAGAATAACAAAAAAAATATAAAACATTAAATATAAAATATGAAACATTAATTAAGATATATGAAATACAAAACAAAAAATGCAGTTTTAGAAATATTAGTAGATAATGAAAAATTATACACCAACAAAATTAAATTAGGATTATTAATTATATTATGAGATATGAAACATCAGAAATGAAATATAAAACAAGAAATATGAAGTGTGAAATATAAAATATTAATCGTAAAATATGAAAAATTAAATAACCACTAGAAACATTAATCACACATTAATGAAGGATCAAATGTAAAATACAAAACAAAAGATAATTAACAAAAAATATTATTACGAAATAAAATTAGAAATATGAAATATTCATTATTAGATATGAAACATAGGAAATGAAACATAAAACATGAAATATGAAATGTGAAACAAAAAATAATAATCGTAAAATATGAAATATTAAATACAAAACAGAATTAGATGTAACATATCGGATTTGAAATATGAAACATTGAAATATAAAATATAAAATACTAAACACTGAAACACTAATAACTAATAAACGTTGCAGTAAAATATTAATCATTGCAATACAATTACCACTACCTTTTGCCCTTGCATTGTTATGTTATACAATCTCAATCAAATGTTACTTACAATTACATGATTCAGGATAAAATTCACGATTAACAAATAATATATTTACCCGTACAAAACTTAGAACTCTTTTCGGGCTCGTCTGTCTTCACTGGCAACATTGCTGGAAAAGAAATCAGTGATAACTGAAGATGAAAAAATTTAATTAGTCTGCATTAGTTTTCAGTTTTTGAGCTCCCGAATATGTTTTACTTCACAACCTTTCGATCTATTATTTTAGAACTGTTATTCGTTATAAATATCAGTTTAAAAATGCTGTAATTTCTAAAAATAAAAGTTGTAAGAAATAATAGATATAAAATTAATAATAGAAGAGATAATACGACGGCTGACAATACCAATCGTGAGCTGCAAGTGCAAAAAAGGACAAAAAGGGATATTTTTAAAGTCACTCACTTTTGGCATCGATCAGTCTTTCTCTAGGACTCATATCTGATGATGTCAGCTGTTCCTTGACCTTGGCCACGTCCTTGGGATGAATGATATCGAAGATACTTTGACCCAACAAATCAGCCTGAAAATTAACCAATTAGAACGATGTTTTATCACATTGTTCTTAATATATTAACAAATAGTACAGGAACTTCTGATTTTTCACATTCATTAAAAACACAAATATTAAAAAATTAAATAATAATAGTATTTTGTTTTATTAAAAGTAGAGTAAAAATGGCACTTTTTGTGGCGATGCTGTACGTTTGACTTGGACATACAGGCGAGCCACAAAAAGTCATTTTTACTCCGAATAGAACATGCTATTTTTTTCAAACGTCGCAAATAATTTTTTAAACAATTTCAAAACGTTCTAAATAGTATAAAAAGATTTAAAAGTGATACCTTGTATGTAATATCGAGAAACTATGGTGACGCTCGTTGATTTTGTATTCATATATTTTCGTACTTTTGTGTTTAGGCTAGGTAAAAGTGCTTTACTTTTATGCCTATGCGTTAAAATGACTTTTTTATATTGTCAATCACGTAGCAAAAATTAATACTTTTGTGACGTTTGAAAAAAAAAATTATATTATAGATAATGTAATAAATTACAAAAAATATCGTAGTATCTCTCTCCATGAAGATTGATGTAAATCCTGACCCGACTTTTTTAAAAAATGTCGGATCTACCCATCTCTAGTCTCTAGCGTGTATTACACTTACCTGGGTGTAGTTCAACACTTTGGAAACGGACTCGGACAAGAACAAAAATCGACCACGGTCGCATCCAACAACAAACAGAAATCCATCAGCTATCTGTAAAAATCATGTTTCTAATATTTCATCTAGACAACTGGTAGAAAAAATATTATATATAAAGTAATAAACACTGTGTACAAGAAACTTAACTACGAGTATATATGAAACAGAAGTTGCTAATAAAAGTTATATACGCCCCAGTAAATTGCAACTAAACTGATAGAAAGTTTAGTACTTTTGTTCCTGAAAATAAGTACTTTTTACGATTTCCATAACGAACTACATCATTGGTTTTGGGACATTAGAAGCTCTTAAAATGCGTAAATAAAAATCTAGGGCCGTATTTAAAAAAAGAAAATTGATGATGATGAAATCTGATAACACCAACTTTTATAACAAAAGAAGTAATAGCATTGAGAATGTGTAAAAATTATTTTGTTATATCTATGCAAATAGAGGAATAAAAAAATAACAAAGAAATCGCAAATATTCATTTTTTTTTCAAAAATCTTTGGAAGTGTTCGGAATTTTTAAATTTTTGAAGTAGCATCTTGATCAGCATCAAATTGGGCAAATTTGCCTTCATTTGTCCTCGTATCTTTTCTAGTTTCCGAAATCTTAATGATGAGTCTCGAATATGGGACACCCTGTATAGATTATTTATATGGGTTGGTCCATTATACTGCTATTAAGGTGCGACGTTCTTGCTATTATCTACATAGATTTTTTTCTAGTTTTATAGCGCATTTTTTTCCTATTCCGCATTGGAAATAGCTCGGGAAATAGTTTAATGAAATGTATCAAGTAACGGTAGTTTTATCGAATGGTTACACATAAATAATACATACAATATTATGTATCTACAGTTGTTTAACAATAAGACAATTTTATGCGCAGTAATTAATAATATTTTTTTTGCAAAAACTAAAGTAATGTAATGTAAGGCAATGAACCAGTGAAAAGAAAAGACATTCTATTAAATAACATAACATCGGAAATATCAGAAGAATATACCGTATGATCGAAAAAAAATGGCGTCCAGTTGGCTTGGAAATGACGATCCATGACATTTCTAATATAATTTTACATATAAAATGACAGCGATCTTCATTTCATAGCCATCGCCGACGCCGTTTTTATTTGATCATACGGTATATATAGTCTGTGAAACGAATAACTTTGAATCTAACAGTTCCCGCGGGCTTTTCTAGTGTTAATTTTATTAGGTTAGCAACTTGCGGCCAAGCATTTTTCTTTATTGTCTGATATTTAGAAATGTCAAAAGCTGATATGACATTTTACTTTTGACAATTATGACATTTCGTGTTGATTTTTGCAAGAAGAGGAAGAACTGTCACTTGTTTTTTATTTTCCTTTTCTATTTCACGAAAGTAAAAAGAGTTACCTATCTGATTCGTTCAGGCACTCAATTTAAAGAATATCAGTAACTTTTTTGATAGAGGGATTTTATATTTGCCATGTTGGTAAAAAATAACGGTCAAAATTCAAAGTTATTCATTTTAAAGACTATATCTGGGACAACTAATACACAGTTCGGGATCTCTACTATCTAGGTAATAGATGTCATCCACATAGTCAAATCCCCCAAGTGGCAATGGGGAGCACACCTGGCAAGAAGGATGGACAATAATAAGTATACTCAGCAATAAAAAACGGCTAAAAATAATATATATAAACGTCAAAGTCTTATTAAATTAAAATTTTGATAGTCTCAACATGGTCTCGACAAACAGCGTTTTTTATCATTTAATTTGAAGAAAGACTTACCTGTAAAAGAAGTTTCTTCAATTCTTCGTCGCTCATAAACGAGGGTTTGTATTTGCCTTCTGTCTGGGAATTAAGAGACTCCTTTATGGTTTTCACGTGTTGGACCGCCATACGCAACACCGTGAGCTTGTCCAGCTTCCTGGACATGGCATTACACATGGGAATCAGAGAGGACAGTTCGGTGATGTAAGTGTTCATCTTGTCCCTGCGTCTTTTTTCGATTTCGCTGTGATTTTGTCTGGAACAAAAAAAAAGTAAATGTAAAGTGACTGTAAAGTGGATTTTCATTCAACCACGGCAAGAGAAATGACAGAAGAAGACGCGTAAAAAATAAGGAAGATAACGTTACACTACCAAAATTTTATTTGCAAAAAAATAATATTTTTAGTTGTTTCGAACTTTTTGACGGTTATTTAAAGTACTTTCTTTGTTTACTTCTACCTTGTTTATGTAAGTTTTACATGACATATTCTACTAATATCTGGGTGTTATAATGAGCCCGTTATTATTGTAATAAGTTAAATAACGTTGTATGACGGAATCTAACGGTACCGTTGCGTCTCGGTACTGCATTCTTTTCGCCTACTGTGACCTTCTGGATCCGGTACATACGCCGATAGAACAGTTATCTTTCTTATTGAAAACGAAAAGAAAATGGCACAGCATAGCGAAAGGGAAAACAAACGGCTAGTACCGTTGGTCGGGACATAAAATAAATAGCACTGTTCGTATATACGAGGGCTAAATAATAAATGATTATTTGAATAGAATCTTTGAATAGAAAGATTAAGGCCAAGTCGCGAGTGAATTAATTTCGGGAGACGAAAATGCAATTTTATCGTCGTGTATAAAACAATATTTTTTCCATAGCGAGTTACGTTTTAAAAAATATTCAGAAATTATTATTTCAAGGGATTTATTACGAGTAGAAAAAATATTTATTGGGTTGGCGTTGGTTTCTATGTAATTTGACAAATAAATAAAGCTGTCTCTTTAGTTGTCATCAAGGGGGTGACAGTAAACCGGAAAATTGGAAACAGTTCTGGCGCGGTCCTACCCAGGCTGTCCTAGACAAAAATCTGAATAGTTCTAATGATTTCTGTCAATTTCTGTTACGGAACATTTTTATGCACGTCGGCGTCCTCTTCTTTTGTCTGTGTGTCAACCATGTGTCAACTCCGGGGCCTCTGGCAAGGTCGGGCGCCATTTTAATTTTTTCGGCTGAAATTTATAAAGTACAAAGATGTTTTTGATATAAAGTTCCTTGTTAACACTTTAATAAAGTATATATGATATTAATTATATGAAGAAAATGATGAAATCGACGTTTCTGCGTGTATTAGGTATGGGCCATATTATATGTAAAAATAGGTAATATATTAACTGTTTTCATATTTTTTTAGCTTTAGATCCAAGGATCTTGGGATATTCTTTACCAAGGATTTTTCCGTATCTCTACTTTAACGACTGATAACGGTGATTTTGAGCAATTGAAAGCAAGTTACACAAGGTAAATTATGATTATTGTTAGCCTACAGCCTACATTAATTATCTACAAGATGAACAGAAATGCGTAATTACATATCACATAGGTACCTATTATGTATTTTAATAGCAATAATGCTATGTATGTAGATTTTTTTTGTAGATTATTTTTAAAATACAAATGAGGTATTAGATGTATATGTATCATATTTTTTATTCATTTTATTTTCATTCAAGTCCTGTTTGATTTTAATTCACAAAAGTCTTATGTACCTATATTTATGTTTTTTTTACATTTTTTTTTCCTGTTTCCAGTTAGTTTTACGCCCGTGAAGCTGTGAAAACATTTATTTATCTTCAAGTTTCTGTAAGTCAGTGCACTGTTACTTTACTCATTCACTTTAACACATCACCCCTGATGTTATTTAATTATTTTGATATTAATACAGTAGTTATGTGTTTATAGCTCTTTAATTGTGTTGATTTGCATATTTACATCGTTCTAAATTCTAAATAAATATTTTTGAGTAATTTTGTTGTATTATTTACTACTAGAAAGAGTAAAAGTATATTAACCCTCATTTAAACCTCCTGAACAGCCCGCCATTAAAACACGGAAACGGAAATAAATTTCATAAAATTGAAATTGTCATGTCTATGTCATGCTGTCTAATCATGTCAAATGTCCCAGCCGCCATATCTGAAAATTAGTTACCCAGGCAGCCACGCTGTTTCCATAATTTAACCTTTGATTTAACATTGACTTGACACTTCTTCTTGTATTTATTATTTTATGGTTGTCAGTCTCCTCAATGAACACCTCAGTAGATTGAAACTAAGAAGAAACGGCGAATGCAGATTCTGTGGGGAAGATGGGGAAACACCAGTACACCTCATCACTGAGTGCGCCGAGACGACAACCATTCGTGCCATGAATTTTGGTACGACTGATATTGGAGATGGAGAACTACCCTCTATAAAACCCAGTCCCAGATACTGGCTTTTGTCAAAGCCCTGGGACTGTATGATGAGTTATGACTCAAGAAAGGGGGACACAATGGATCTGTAAGGTCGCAGTGATTAACCCCTTTCCCACTCATTCTAAATTCTAAATTCTAAATTCTAAAATTCTAACCTATCCTCGCTGTTAAAATATCATTTAATCTACCCTTGCGGTTAAAGTACTATTTTACCTACTATTTTTGATAGATATAAGGCAATTTTAACAGTTGCAATGGAAAAAAATATATCTTATCTACATTCAAAAACAGTTTAAATTTATTATATTGATGCTATTTAAAAGTATTGCATGTCTGTAGCTAAATTGTCCATAATGATAATTAATTTTCAAATGGCTGTGCTAGGTGTAAATGACACTATTTTGCACTCCATGTTTGTACAAGGCTATCGCTCTTCCCAGAAAGTGCGGACTCCATCGACTTTCGGTAACGCTTGCACCGTTATAGATGCTCGCAAAAAAGTATAACATTTAAAATTAGTTCCACAGATTTTATAAGAACGACCGAAATTTCTATAGAGATTTCTATATGCAGAATATTACATTGAACCGTCGTATTAAACGGAATAATCGAAAACTGGACATATGTAAAGGTGAAGTGACGTAATGCGTAATGCAGTTAGGTGAAGCCGGTGCAGAAAACAAGTAGAATCAAGTTCAAGGTGCACCACTTGCACACCTAATCTCCAACGACATACAAGGTTGAAATGAAAACTTCTTATTGAATAAACCGTTAGTTGTTATTAAAGTACCGTATCATGATTTTTACAAAAACATTCTTGTTCTATAGTATGCAGTAATGAATAATATATTTTAATTTAGATTATAAGAGATAATGAGGTAACGACTAACATAACACTAATATGGTGGTAAGAATCAATATGATTTACGTAATATCAGAACTGACTTTCTCTTTTGGACAAAATTTGAAATAATGATTATGAGAATACTCTATCTTTAAATAAAAATACCGGGTGCGTCTCAAAAGTGGCTCACCCCCTATAACTTTTTTATTTTTTCAGATAAAAAAACGAGATTTGGTATGTTATAGTCTGTGAAACGAATAACTTTGAATTTGACAGTTACCGCGGGCTCTCCTAGTGTTAATTTTATTAAGTTAGCGTAACTTGCGGCCATGCTGATGCAATGCCGTCTCTAATAGAACAGCCACGGACCGAGATTTATGACGTCACGCTAGTTAGATACTAGGGATTAATAAATATGTTGTAGAATCCATGGAAAACATAATTATTCCTCGTATATGTAATTTTTTGGGTTATATTCGACACTATTTTTTTTTCATATGACACAACACTGATGAAGGCTATAAATGTTAGCTATGACGTTTTTTTTAAACCAAAAAAAAAATAATGAAAACTTAATTAGCGTTTTTCACGAACCTAAATCCCAAGAAAATCAAAAATTTTTCAGCGATCTTTATTTCATAGCCATCGCTGATGCCTTTTTTTGATATTGTATTATTTGCAAATATAATTTTTCGATAACATTGATGCTTTCAAAATATACATATAAATTTTGTGAATGCAAATAATAATACATCACTATTAGTAGATATTGAATGTTTTTTGTTAAATTAGATCTTTGAATAAGAAGACTAAGGAAGGAGCATAATGCTATCCATGTATTCATGCATGGTGGGCGGAAAAAGCGCCATAAAAGCACTCTAGGGTGGGGATCCTTGACAGTTCTGTTTGACCATTGATTTGACACATTTGAATTTGATTTGAAATTTTGTGGATTTGTCAATTTTACGGAGCTTGTTTTATGTTATTTATTATTTATTCTACTACTGATAGTTGTATAAAGGTAGTAAATCTAGATGGAAATTGTGGCAGCACTTAAATTAACAGTGACACTATCGCGATTTATCGAAAAAGACTCTAAAATAGTTGGTTGTGTAGCGTGCGGTAGATCTCGGCAAAAATTGAGTGAAATAATGGAACAACTTTTCGCTAGTAAGTGACTATATAATATACATACGTGTAGTAAACCGATCATTTATGAAATTCACTTAAATTAACTAAATTATATATTTTTCTTGCATTTTAGCTTTTATTTATTACTTGTCAAAGATTAGATGTCAAAGAATTTACATACGTTAATTTGACTTACCTGCTTCAGTAGCGTATCGGATGTTTGTGGTAATAAATACTTATTATAACTTATCTATTTTTATTAGAATTAAAGAAATATTAATAACTACCAACATTTATTCACAACGTAAAATAAAACAACAAATTATTGAGTCTACCCCACGTCTACCATACATTATAGTTTTACATTTTTTAAATAAAATTAGAACGACACTGATAAACCGGAATTTAAGTCGGCCATATTTGAGGCCCATCGCGGTGTACCTAAGATTTTTAATATGCTCCTTCCTTAGTCTTCTTATTCAAAGAATTAGATCGATTTTCAAACCCAAAAATTTAAAATATATTTTACATTTTACCCATTATCTTATGTACCTATTCATTATTTGTATATTGTAAAATATTTGCTGCATTTGTATGGTTCATAGTTTATTTGTCAAAGTATTTATTACTATAAATAGGTATATATATATATTGTATTTATTAACTGTATATTATATATATTTCATGTAAACTATATCATTTTTAAAAGACAAACCAAAAATACGAGGAATAGTTATGTTTTCCATGTATTCTACAACATATTTATTAATCCGTGGTATCTAACTAGCGTGACGTCATAAATCTCGCTCCGAGGCTGTTCTATTAGGGACGGCATTGGTCTGATATATAGAAATGTCAAAATCTGATGACATTTTACTTTTGTCAATTATGACATTTCGCGTCGATTTTTGAAAGAAGAGGAAGAACTGTCACTTGTTTTATTATTTTCCTTTTCTATTTCACGAAAGTAAAAAGAGTTACTTATCTGATTCGTTCAGGCACTCATTTTAGAGAACATCCGTAACTTTTTGGATAGAGGGATTTTATATTTGCCATGTTGGTAAAAAATAACGGTCAAAATTCAAAGTTATTCATTTTATAGACTATAGTATATGGCATAAATTAGGATTGATTGATGTATTCAATTATTTTTGGTCACTTCCCGTTTTACAGGAAACGACTACAACTTTTGATTTTTAAATGGCACCTTCGGTATTTTTTTTACTTTATTTGATAGAAAATGACATTCTGAATAGAATGACATATCATATGTCAGCTTTTGACATTCTCGCTTAATAAAAAAACATATTTTAAAATTCAATCTAGAGTGCCATGGCTATGTTAAAAACACTAATTCTTAATTAAGAAGCCTTGGAAAATTAGATTTGATCGTCTAATGTTTTTAGTGTCTTGTCCTAGCTGGCCAGTTAGAAAATGCGCATATCGTATTTTTAAACATATCTCATTTTTTTCAAATGGAACGTGGGTGGCTCAATGGTATACGTATTTGGAAAAAGCATTTTTTTACGAATAATTTGATACCACACACTTGGTATTTCGAGTCAAATTTTCGTTACGAACCGCAAATTATAATTTCAAATAAACCATATGCAAAAATGTGTAAAGTTGACATATGATATGTCATTCTATTCAGAATGTTATTTTCTCTCGACTAAAGTAAAAAAATACCGAGGGTGCCATTTAAAAATCAAAAGTTGTGGTCATTTCCGGTGAAACAGGAAGTGACCGCAAACAATTGAACACGTCAGTCAATCTTAATTTATGTCATATACTAACATACCAAATCTCGTTTTTTTAACTAAAAAAATATGAAAGTTATAGGGGTGAGCCACTTTTGAGACGCACCCGGTATATATCTGAAAACTGCTATATCGAAAATGTGATCCGCGATTCATTATTGGTGGAAAAATTATGGCGCGCAGTTCAAATTTCATAAAACTGAACTTCTGTTAGTTAAAGCATTTATACTCAAAAAAGATATTTTGAAAGATCTCACCAGAGATTAGGGTCGGTAGTGAAAAGGTCGCGACAAATCTCACAACATCACACCAGTGGGGAGGGGGGGGGGAGGCCAAAAAACACTACTCAAAAAAGCGCCTCACGTAATTTAAGGACGCCCCCTATATAAAACGATCAGGAGATTCCTGCTTTTAAAAAAGTTTTAGTTTTACTCTTACTTTTGTTCGTTTATTTTCTTCGCGCCACCCTGTATAATTGGGTAATACGGTAACGCAAATAGTCCCGTTAGAAGGTTACGTTACTACATAAATATCATGCTTATTTTTTACAGCCACACCTGTAATAATTACCGTTATGTTTTTATTTATAATGTTGTTTATTTGAATTTATATTCATGTATGAAGAATAATCACACCCCTGTATTGAAACAATAATTCTTGCCATTTCTTATGTAAAATGACCTCTTGAATCTGAATATGAACTCTATTTTCCTCCATCACACTCGATAGTTTGGTGGGATAAAAGAATTATTTTTTGGCTTTGTAGACAATAGCACAATAGAACCCCAGAAATAGCTAGTTAGACAGTCTCTTCTTCCACAATTACGTAAAACTATACAGAAAAATTTATCATAAGACTATAAGAGCCGCTAAGGACCTTTATTATAATAGGAGAATAGTCAATTCTGGTAATGTTGCTAAAGAAACATGGTCTATTGTAAATGAGTTGAGAAACAAAGCTTCTTCGTCTAGCAATATCTCTACCTCACCTGAGAACCTTAACGATTACTTTGTAAATGTAGCGAAGAACTTAACTAATACCATATGTCCTCCTCATGATCCACTTTCTTATCTCTCTAATGATATTGTAAACTTACACAGTTTCTTTTTTTCGCCCGTAGTTTTAGAAGAGCTTCGCAGTACAATTAATACCATCAAAAATAAATCCTCTTCTGGGACCGACGGGCTAACTTTAAAAATGTTTTCGAATCTGCCAGAAAGCACTCTGAATCACCTAACAACTTTAATAAACATGTCGTTCCAAAATGGTATTTTTCCAAAATGTCTTAAGGCGGCAATAATCATTCCTCTGCATAAAGGAGGAGACAAAGATGAAGCTTCTAACTATCGCCCAATTGCACTCCTTCCAACGCTATCTAAGATCATAGAAAGGTTGGTTAAAAGAAGGCTGGTATCTTTTCTGCTTAAGTACAAGATACTTACTGAATATCAATTTGGATTTCTAAACAACAAGTCCACAAATGACAAAAAAAGACGCTATGTTTTCCCTCCTTAATAAAGTTTACTCCAGCCTAAACAACCATCACTCTACAGCAACAATTTTCTGTGATTTTTCTAAGGCGTTCGATTGTGTAAATCATAAGATCTTAATTAATAAACTGCAGCACTATGGGTTCAGGGGATCATCTCTCAAATGGTTTAAGTCGTATCTGAGCAACAGAAGTCAACTTGTGAGGGTGGATACCACGTTGTCTTGTAGCAAGCCAATAGAATGTGGAGTACCACAAGGCTCAGTACTAGGCCCTATTTTGTTTCTTCTTTTTATTAACGACATTGCTAATATAAACATCAGTGGCAAAATATGTCTTTTTGCGGACGACACTAGCTTCACTTGGAGCAACAAGGACATCACGGCACTTCATAGGATTATATCAAATGACTTAATCACCATTAAATCTTGGTGCGATTTGAACCTCCTGAGTCTCAACATTTCTAAAACTAAAGCTTTGTCGTATAAAAACTCGTTGCAGCCTTTTGTACTTAACAACACCACCATTGACGTCGTCAAGTCTGTAAAATTCTTAGGGCTTGTTGTGGACAATTCTCTGAAATGGGACATACATATCGAAGCTTTGTCGAAAAAATTGAGCTCTGCCTGTTTTGCATTAAGGTCTGTTTCTAAGGAGCTTAACTTGTCAGTGGCTAGAACTGTTTATTATGCACTTTTTGAGTCGCACCTCAGGTATGCCCTTCCATTCTGGGGTACGTGTTGTGCGACTCAATTTGACCGCATTTTCAGGTTCCAGAAGAGAGCTGTTCGATATTCACTGGGACTAAACAGCAGAACTCATTGCCGGGACTTTTTTAAAAAATTAAAAATATTGACTCTTCCTTCCTTATTTATATTTGAATCCGTTTGCCTAATACGTAAACATGTATCAGCTTCTCAAGAGAAAGGCCATCTCATACTTATCCACTCAGGAACGCGGAGCAAGATCTTTATCTACCTACCCCACGCTCAGAGTTAGTTAAAAGTTCAATATTATACAACTCGAAAAAAATGCACAATCACCTGCCATTTGAAATCAAATCCATAACATCATTTTCTTCTTTTCGCAAAGCAGTGAACTCTTATTTACTAGACAAGGCTTTCTACGCCGTAAATGAATTATATTTTGAAAATCAAATTTGATCTTGTAAACACTGGTCTAATGTTTGCTATTGCTATATTTACTAATGACATCGAAATGAATTTATTTAGAGGTCATTGATATTTTACTATAAACTAGCTAATATTTTTGAATATTATTTTTATTTTTTGTTCTTTGACATTATAAACATTTATAAATGTTTATTTTAACAATAAGACTGACAATATTATTTGTATAATGTTTTGTATTATCTTTTGTTTGTTTGTTTGTGTACCTTGTATTTTTACTTTGTTTGTTAGTTTACCTTTGTCTACAAATTGAAAAATTTTTTGACAATAAAGGCATTTATTTATTTATATTTATTTATTTATTTATTAGCAATGTAGTTGCTATTTCTGGGGTACTACAGATATTAAGTGTTCTGTAAACATGAACTTTTGTAGGAAGGCGGTGGGCTTTTTTTAGAGGGTGTAATCCGGCTCAAATTGTAGTCAAACCAGTAAACGTAATCGATTTTTTAATAATAATTCCCTTTTAAATAAAATAATTCCCTTTTCATCTCTCCAAATTAAATTATTATTATTATTGAAAAAAGCTATATCTGGATTCAGGGTACACTTAGCCCTGCAAAATCGTAACAGTATACTTACTTCTTGTTTTCGTCTGTCTTGGTCGATTTGGCATCCTCGGCCATTTCTTCATCCATCTCGCTGACGTCACTGAAACAAAGAAAAAGAACATATCGGTTACTATGTCGACCAAGATTTCTGTGGGTCCCTATATAAAGGGCAAGTCCCGGTCGCAAAGCTAGAAACTAATTTCGAAGGAATAATCGACAGCATACGTGAACTAATTAACATAGTCTTAAGACGGGGAATCCCTAGAGGTGTCCTCTATGCGAGCCAGGAGTGAGATCCAAGGGGAAACCCCTAAAATTGATCGTGTGCTATAAACTTATTTGGCTCATGTTTATTAGCTAACCTACAAGATTGTATATGCTGTAATCAACACTAAAGTGTGTTATTCTAAATTTATTTTTGTTTGAAAGAATTTTCTCTTATACAGGGTGGTCCGAACTGTATTCCGGAAACTTCGGCACTTTCGGAAATTCGGAAATTTTAAATTATTTTCCAAATAATTTCTGAAGTAACGTCACTATTTGGATAAAAATTGGTGTTTGGGAGTTTTTTGACATGACAAATTTGATTTTGATGTCAATATGACTCCTACTTGTAGAGGGCGCCATCTATATATTTTTAACTGGTTTGAAGAGTAATAACTTTTCGTCCGTACCTGTATAAAACTATTAAATAAAAAAATATACATTTACAATGTTTTTTGTGTAAAAAAGGTCTCTTGGTGAAAATTGCTACTAGTAAATGGTTCTCGAGATATTTGGAATCGAAATTATGTCCTGTCATCATTGACATAAATTAAACATATGTTGACTAAATACACACACCAGAAAAATCTAGGGATATCATTTTGTTAAAGTTAAAAATAAATGTTTTGAATAACAACCACATATTTGTAGGCCGATTCTTTCTACTTCGATTGAAACGAAGTGGTCACACTAGCTATTTCTAAATTTGGGATATTTGCAGAAGTGTTTGTGCATTTTTTGTCAAATGTATAAAAAGCACTAGCATCAATTGTTCAAATTTAACCTGTACTGGCTATGTTTTTATGATAATTGGCCAGAATTCATTCAAATAAATCTTTTTAGTATTAAATGACATTATGGAGCGTAGACATCTTAACAGAGACGAAATACTAAGGGCCATGGGTATGCTCGAAGTTTGGCGCATTCCAGCTTCGAGCGGAATGGAATGCGCCAAATCGATGTAGCTAGAGCATTAAATACAACGCAAAGTGTAATATCGCGATTAAGTGCACGCTACCGTGAAAGTGGTGATGTTGCTGAAAGGCACGCAAGGCGAAGGCATTACTACCCCTCAGCAAGATCATTTTTTACAATTAAATGCTCGACGCCGACCGACTCTTACAGCACCAGAGCTTAGTTTAATTCTCCAGAAAACACATAATGTAACCGTTAGTCCTGACACTGTTCGCAATAGATTAAGCGTGGTCAACATAAGAAGCAGACGCCCCTGGAGAGCTCAACCCTTAACGAGAGGAAATCGAGAGGTACGATATTTGTGGGCTCGAGATCATGTTCAGTGGTCGAATGAATAATGGGCCAATGTTCTCTTCACGGATGAGTCACGCTTTGGAATTCATCCGGATTCGAGAAGGCTTAGGATATGGAGAGAACCGGGAAATCTTATTCGGTTGTATCATGTTCAGGAAGTGCACCCTTATCAAGGTGGAACAGTTATGGTCTGGGGAGGAGTCCAGTTAGGCCGAAAAACCGATCTCTTTTTTCTTTAAAGGTTTCTAACAGGAATCGCATATCGTGATTTAATTCTTGAGCCTGTCGTGTTACCATATGCCAATGATTTTAGGAGAAACTTCATTCTCATGCATGACAATGCACAGCCTCATACAGCCGGAGTGGTAAGTGAGTTTATCCATGCTCATCAATTAAACATCTTACCCTCGCCGACACAATCTCCTGACCTCAACCCCATCGAGCACGTATTGCTCACGTATTTGAGAATGGGTATGCCTCGTGAAACTCGTAAGGATCTGGTTCGGGCCGTGAATGCAGCGTGGCAGGCTGTACCACAAGAAGAGATCGACAACCTGATCAGGAGCATGGAGAGACGATGTAGGGCTGTAATGAACAGTAGAGGAGGCCATACCCTTTATTAGTTTAGAATAAAAAAAAATGTGTGTATTTTTTTGAGTTCAATAAAAATTAAGGTAAATTATTTTATTATATTCGAAATGCAAATAATAAAATTACTGACGATGGCTGGATAAAATTGTAATATCCCTAGACTTTTCCAGTGTGTGTAGTTATTTGACTAAACTCATTTTTTTGCAGAAAAATTTATGATTAATTTGAAGAAATAAAAAGTTCTCAAAATTATCATTCCAGTCAAATAACTATCTACTAAACATGTTTATTTTTTGTCAATAATGACATGTATTGACTATTTCCGTTCTAAATATCTTGAGAACGGTTGCGCGTAGCGATTTTTACCAAGAGACATTTATTACGTAAAAAATCACGGTATATTTTTTCACTCAGTAGTTTTATACAGGTACGGACGAAAAGTTATTACGCTTCAAAATAGTTAAAACACATGTAGATGGCGCCAACTACAAGTAGGAGTCATATGGACATCAAAATCAAATTTCTCATGTTAAAAAACTCCCAGACACCAATTTTCATTTAAATATTGGTATTACTTCAGAAGTTATTTGGAAAAAATCGAAATAAAAATGAAACTTCAACACCCTGTATCTCCGAAACTAAGCATTTTAGGACAGACATTTATATGAACTTTTTTACTTATTTTTATCTGCAGAATATTCTCCCGAAGTTTCCCGAATACAGTTCGGACCACCCTGTATACAGGTGTAGTTGTTAGTTGTAGACTTTACATTTTATGCTTTTGACGGCATATACTTGATGATATCTAAATATAATTGATGGAAAAGTTCATTTTTACAATATTAATACAAAAACAAACAAGGTAACAATATTTTCAACTTTCCTTAAATTAAATAAAAGGAAGCATTACTGTATATAACTTCTGTTTACATTCATAATCATAAGTTAATCAAAGTTTACATCTTAGAAGTCACTCGAGGCTTCACCAGCTTTGATAAACTGTTTCCAAACAACTCAAGTTAGAACAACACCGCGATTCACAAAGACCTTTTGAAGTAATGGAGAGTTTCTACTAAATTGAATGAAAAAAGTTTCTTTAATTGTTATAAAGTTGCTTTTTATGTAGCTTTTTTAAATATTCGATTTCAAATATGACATTATGCCGATAATTGACTCAAAAGTTTATTAAAGATTATTAACTGTATACAGGGTGAGTCTTAAATAAATGCAAATATTTTCAGGGGTGGTATATTTCGACCCTAGGAACACGTCTATGAGTTTTTTCGCAAAAAAAAAGATGTTGACAATCGTGCATTTTCTTTTAAATTTCCCTGTATATTTTTCGAAAACTTTTTAGGACTGCCTGTTCACCGCAAATTTTCTCACGGTATAATTTCTTAATCTCTGATATTGCCATAGTTACGGCTACAGAAAACTATCCGGTGGCTTTCAAAATTTTTTCAAAAAAAAATCATTTTTTTTTAATTTTCAAACTTTAATATCTCGGTTATTTTGAACTTATCTGAAAAATGGTAAAGAAAAAATTATATTTCTTTTATCGAGATCTACCCTGAAAATAATTGCACTTATTTAATTTGACTCACCCTGTATATTTTGAAAAAGTTGGTTATACTGTACGAGTTTCTATATTTGCCGTTTAAGAAATACCGTATGATCGAAAAAAAAAACGACGTCAAAGACGGCTGGGAATGACAATTGATGATAATTTTGGCGAGGTCAATCTCTAGATGTCATTTACTAAAAATTGACATAAAACTTGTCAAAATTAACACTATTTATAAAAAGATTAAAAAGGATAGAACTTTTCCAGGCACACAAATCTATTTCCAAATAATTATTTTTTGTCTAACTGTTTAAAAATCATTTTTACTCAAATAAAAATAAACTACAACCTTCTTAAGGTCAACTGGCAGTCAGGATCATTAAATAAAGAAGCATACAGGCCAAGTAAATGATGTCTAGGGCTTAACCTCGCCAAAATTGTCAACGATTGTCATTCCCAGCCGTCTTTGACACCGTTTTTTATGGATCGTATGGTATATATTCTATTTCACTTTTCGCATATAGTGTTTTTAACAAAAAAGTTTCAGGTAAAAAATACATGGTAATACCGCATAGTACTTCAAATAAAAATAGTGTCCTATATACAGAATTTTATGCTGAACCCAATTTTGTAATTGCAATTTAAAAAACGTACCACTATAATTTTTTTGGAACACCCTATATAAAACAAAATATTTTTAGAAAATGCATCTTTATAAACCATGCAAATTTTTTTTCATATCTTAATCAGCAACGACGCGACGGTATTGGACTTCCTATACAAGGTGTTTCAAAACAAATGCGAAAAACTTCAGGGGGTGATTCCTTGTTCAAAATAAAGGGTAGTTTGCTACATAAACGTTGGGTCAAAAGTCAACCATTAGGGAGATATCGCGGTGCAAAAATGGCGGAAAAAATAATGTTTTTATTTTTTATCTTGAAAACGAAAAGAGATAGACGCATGAAATTTTATGGAAGCATTACTGTTATGAAAACACACTTTCTGGTAATTTTCTCACTTTTTTAAAATGAGTGGAAGGGGTTGAAATAAACTACCCCTATCATTCTTGTTAACGAAATTTATAGAAAATTCTTATTAAACACATGCAAAAAAAATAATTTGGATAGTTTAGTTTGTTTAGAAACTTTTTTATCTCTTGTGTTTTTTTGAAAAAACTCACCGATTTGAAATTATAAAATAAAATGTAAAGCATTACATGCCAGGACAAAAAACATTTTTAGATAAAGATTCTAGTGGGCTGCTTTTTTTCCACTCATTTTAAAAAAGTGAAAAAATTACCAGAAAGTGTGTTTTCATAACAGTAATGCTTCCATAAAATTTCATTAGTCTATCTCTTTTCGTTTTCAAGACAAAAAATAAAAACATTATTTTTCCGCCATCTTTGTATCGCGATATCTCCCTAATGGTTGACTTTTGACCCAATGTTTATGAAGAAAACTACCCTTTATTTTGAACCAGGAATCACCCCCTGAAGTTTTTCGCATTTGTTTGGAAACACCCTGTATATGAGGACGGGCACTAAATCCACTCGGACCGGTCGACTCGACTAAAGAGCTATCGGCAGGTTGTGTTTTTTTATTCTTAATCTAAGGTTTTGAACCAGCCTTCGAGTCGAGCGGTCCGAAAATTACATATTTTTTCAAACGTCACAAAAGTATTAATTTTTGCGACGTGATTGACAATATAAAAGTCATTTTAACGCCTAGGCATAAAAGTAAAGCACTTTCACGTCTAAGCATAAAAGTGCGAAAATATACAGGGTGGCGCCTCTCATACGCCGCGGAGGCTCCAAGGAGGACGACAGTTTGTATTGAAATGAAATTTTGTAAGCATATGTAGGTTAATTCAGAGCAGTTTTTAAAAATATAGAGAGTTCTACAGGGTGTCCCCAAAAAAAATTACATATCAAAGTTGTGTTTTTTGTAATGGAACACCCTATATATTAATTGACTTTCGGATTCTGGGAGAAAAATAAAGCTGAGTATTATAAGAGAAGTATATGACCAAAATGTAAGGTTTTTGACATATTTAACATTTTCTAGAAATAAAGAACAAATTTTAAATTACAATAAAAGCTACCTAAATTGAAATTTACCCGGTATAACCTGTATATGTAGTCAAATTAACTATTGTACTTTAAATCAAATTAAAACTTGATACAAAAAGTTATACAGGGTGAAACAAAATTAATATTGAACATTGGTCACCTTTAAAAGCATGTTACTCTCTTATTTTAAATGAAACACCCAGTATATTATTCCGATATTTAATGGAGAATATATGTCTCTTCAAAATACTATTAAGGTTGCCTACCCCTCAAACAAAGATTTTCTTAGATATTTTCATTTACATGATTTGATCTGAGTAGATCTTTATGATTTGATAAAATCTAGATGGCTGTGATATGTCTGACGTTACTTCAACATAGCTGTCTAACTAGTCCAACTTTAACAACTAGTTATAATTTTTTGTCACTTAAAACAAAAAAAAATCTCAGGAATTTGCCGAAAATGCAAACTTATCCTACATCAGAAAAAATTGATATGATTCTATTAGTTTAATGCAGTGTGCATTCACCAATTAATAGAATACCTAAATGCTCCTGATTTTATCTACTCTGGTTTTTTTATGGGGATATGTTAAAGACAGTGTTAAAAAAACTCGTGTCGACAACATGAGATAAATTATTGTAGCTGCTTTTCGAGGGAGAACTCCACATATGCCTTTTAAAATGAAAAGATACTTTTGAAAAGACAATCATTTTATGCAGTTAACACGAAAGGAAGCATTTTGAGCATTTGATTTCATCTAGCTAATTTTTGTCGCATAATTATAGGTTCATATTTAGTTTTAATTCTGTAATAATTAAAATATATTTTAAACGTATATTTCTTTATTACCCTTGAGTATTTTACTCCACAATCTTTAATTTTTGGTATATCACACAGCCACCTAGATTTTATCAAATAATAAAGATTTACTGACGCAAAATCATAAAAATTAACATATCTAGGAAAATCTTTGACTGGGGGGTAGGCAACCTTAATAATATTTTAAAGATATATAAATTCTCCATTGAACACCGGAATAATATACTGGGTGTTCCATTTAAAATAAAGGAGTAACTTGCTTTTAAAAGTGACTAATGTTCCATATTAATTTTGTCTCACCCTGTATAACTTTTCGGGTCAAATTTCAATTTGGTTTAACATACAATGGTTACTGTAATTAAATATCAGGCTATACAAGGTCAACTAAAATTTAGGTAGCTGTTATCGAAATTTATAATTTACTCCTCATTTTCACAAAATGTGAAATATGTCAAAATCCTTAGATTTTAGGTATATGCTTCTTTAATAAAACTCACCTTTATTTTTTTTCTAGAATCCGAAAATCAATTAATATATAGGGTGTTCCATTAGAAAAAAACACAACTTTGATGTGTAACTTTTTTTGGGGACACCCTGTATAATTCTATATATTTTTATAAAACGCTTTCAGTTAACCTACATATGCTGCCAAAATTTCATTTCGATATAAGCTACCGTTCTCCTTGGAGCTTCCGCGGCGTATGAGAGGCGCCACCCTGTATTATTAAACTGACATAAAGTGTCAAATACAACGAGTGTAACCATAATTTCTCGATATATAATTACATACAAAGTATGACCCTTATGACTTTTAAATTATATGGAACGTTTGAAACTGTTTGAAAATTATTTAAGGCGTTTGAAAAAAATAGCATGTTTTATTCAGAGTAAAAATGACTTTTTGTGCTTCGCTTGTATATCGTGTAAACGTACAGCTTCGCCACGAAAAGTGTCATTTTTACTCCTAATAAAACAATACATTATTATTCCTAAGACCTGCCGGATAGCTCTTAGGCCAGTCGACTGGTCCGAGTCGATTCAGTGCGTGTCCTCCTTAATAGGCCACCCTGTATATGGGAAAACAAAGCTAGAATAGCATAGGAAAAGGACAAATGCAGTAGGCCTACAGGTCGCAATGTTTTCGGCATAGGACGACCTTAAAATAGAGAAAAAAAACTGATAAATGGTAAAACTTACTGAGATGAAGCTTTCCGTTTCTTTCGTATGGTAGATGGAGGAGGAGGCTCAGCTACTTGAACGTCCATCATGGTGGAGGCGCACGATGAGCTAGCTACAGATGGCGGATAAGATACCGCAGTTGAAGAACATGGGGCATTCCTGCAAAAAAATGTCTAGATGTTATGTCTTATATTAAAAATGTTAATGTCTTTTGTTATAATTTTAATACTAATTAGTTAATCAACTATTTATTTTTTACAGACAGATATTGTCATCTATTGTTATTTCTAAGGTCACTCCGATGCTATCTTTTTTTTTTGGATCAAACAGTATAGTTTTGATATTTAATTTTTCGATCCATAAATTCGGAGATATCAACTAGCACTAGAACATGAAACCTCTTTAAACATATTTTGTAAATGATAAATTTAGAAAATATGTTATTCAATATAATTAACAGTAGTATATAAAAAAACTATCCTTGAAATTTGCTTTTATTTATAGATATATTTTTTATACACAGGATGTTCGAAAAATGCACTATCAAATTTCGGGAGGTAAATCCCCATCAAAATATACGGAAAAAAGTTCCTATGGGCTTGGTGCAATCTCCGCCGGAGCTGCCACCATCGGAGAATATTGTAAACAACTAGTATATACAAGGTATATACGAAAAATTTATTATTATATAATTATTCTAAAAGTGCCAGGAAGTATAATTTGTGCAAATTCTAAAAATAAAAAAGTAAATATTTTGATATCTTTCAGAAGGTCTAACTTATATTATAATTTATTATTCCAGCTAAAAAAAACTTTTTAAATTTCAACTACGGTAGCGAGCATAGTTTTAATTGCCGGTTTTGCTAGTGAGGTCATAATTGGGGCTATTTCGGCTATAACGAAATTTTTTAAAGGTATATAATTATAATTTTAGAAGATGTTCAGGAAACATTTAATCAGTAGTCGATTACAAAAAGTATACTATTAATATAGCAAATTAAATTTTATTCTCTGATAATAATATGTCTATTTAATTTTTTTGATTATGTAACGAGAACTTTGTTTTTAACTTCAAATCAATATTATCTCATAAGTGGAAAGGCTTGAGCTATTGGCGTAACTAGAGGGGGGCCCGGGGGTGCCAGCCCCCCCCAGGTTCTGCTGGGTACCCCCCAGAGAAATACTGAATTATGACTCTTGGCTACGTATTAATTTTTATTTGCTTGTGATGCAGTAAAAATGACGTTTTCTAGTTTTGTTTAGTTAATATTATTTTGCTGTGTTCAAAAAATGTGTTAATTTTTATTTTTTTAGATAATGTGTAGGTATTTAAATAATCTACGGGAACACGGTTTGATAACCAAGTCTATGAAATTTATTGATAGAGAAATTCATGTAAACGTTTTATTCAAAAAATGTGTTTTTTTAAATTATTTTTGATTTAAAAAAAAAACAAAAGCCTTAAGCCGCCCCTGGGCTCAACCCCAACTACAGAAATACCAGAGAGTAAAGTAGACATATTTAGAAAGTATATATTAATTTTTTTGGTTGGAACTTTTATTGTGGGTGTCGTCAAAAGTCATAATAGTTGCTAATTAAGTAATGATCAACACTGTCCCGCCTTTTCATTATGAGGATCTGTCAGCCCTGCTTGTATGTTGCTAAAATTTTATTGTTTATGTCCCAACTTATTTTAAAATTTAGATCGTTCTTTTCGAAAAATGACGTAACTCGAAACAGTGGGACGTAACTTTGAGGAATAGTAACAAAAATTTGTTCGACGTAACTCGAAACGACGTAACACGAAACGACGTAAATCGAGGACTGCCTGTATTAAACTTCTTTAAAAAAATAAAACAGACTTAAGATGCTGTGTCAGCATCTTGAGTCCATTTTTGTTACGTTATAAGAACGAGGTAATATTTATATCCTATTCAGTAAATGTAACTCTATCGTACTATGTGACATTGATTTCAGAAAACTGTATAAAGTCTAGTTCAAGGCTCATTGTTAAATAATTTTATTCCAACACTTATAACGGAGATTTAGAATACTACCTAATATAATTAATAAGTGACATAGGTTAAAACTGGATCATTTGATTGACAGTAAATTTGTAGCAAAGCCACTTAATGATTTTTGTCTGGCATTTTACAATTTTGAAAGAGCCATAATATGTAATAATACTGCGAATATCTACGAAACCGTTAAACATTTTAAAATGCTGTAATCATAAAAAATGTTTATTTTTTAATTCTCCATATAACAAAGAAATAATATACAGGGTGTTCCGTTTCAACATTCCACCAAACAAAATTCCTAAGTTCTTTTTACAGGACATACAGGTGCCCGACGCTTTTTTGTAGGACCCTGTACATTATACAGGGAGAGTCTTAAATGAGTGCAAATGTTTTTAAGGGTGGTATATTTCGACCCCAGAAACACAAGCCTAAGAAGTTTATTTTGCGGAAAAAAATTTAGAATTTGGATTTTTTTTTTATTATTTTTAATTAAAAAACATAATATCTTGATAATATGGCAACACTAGGTATAATACATTAAAATTACAAGAAACAAAATCCATAAAAAAGATCCAGTGGTTCTCAAAATTTAAGCAAAATCTATTTTTTTTAATTTTAAGTAAAATTACTCGATTTTTTTGGACTTAATTAAAGATCTACCAGCCTTAAAAATATTTGCACTTATTTAAGACTCACCCTATATATGTTTTTTTTTTGTTTAAACATAAACTTACTGGACTAAATTCGTCAATTCATAATAAGTCGGTTGGTAAGGCTGTATATGAGGTTGAATACCACCCTGTTGCACCATAACAGGCTTTAACCCTTCCAAGGACAAAAAATTCCTCTCTTCCTCGGCAGGAACCTGCTGTAAGTACCCCGAATAAGTCGCAACATCCTGCAAAGTCATGTTTCTCGCCACCATCGTATCGCTCATATCACTTTAAGTGTCCCGAATCAAAAAAAAATCGAAAAAATCACATCACATGGTCCGAAATTGCGCAAAAGAATCTAGAATCAACCACTGACGCCAGCGTTCGTTTCTTTAAAAACAAGCGCGAAGCGGACGCGCGTCTATTTAAATCAAATCGAGTTGGCGCGGTGGCTCGCCGAGCCTTCCGATTGGCTATAAATGTCACCTTGACGACCAATCGACAGTTATAGTGATGGGAACCGTTGTTGTTTTGTGTTTTAGGTGGGACGAAAAGCTCACAGAAATAAGTAGGCGTAGAGGGATCTCAAAATAGTACAGAATATAAAATACTGATATACAGGGTGGACCGCACTGTATTCCGGAAACTTACACAGCATATTCTTCAGATAAAACTAAGTAAAATAGTTCGTATAAATGTATGTCCTAATGGCGGATTCTCACGACTGGCGTACTTGACAAATATTTGATATTGGAATATACTTGCCATGTCGTGAGAACGGGTTCCTCGGTCACTTGTCGCGTCCCCACTCTCTGTCGGTAAATATAGCCCGAGTCAAACGATTAATCGTACACTTGCCAAGTATACTTGGCCAGCCTGGGCCAGCCTTGTTTACACTTGCCGAGGCGCAAAAAAACGACTGCGCAATAATGTTACTGTTATAGCGTATGTCCGATTTATTTCCGGATCGTAGTGTTTTTAGAGTTAATTGTGGATAATTTAAAACGTTAAAACAATAATAGATTATGTAATATCAAATTTACATTAATAACTTCAATATTGGCGACATACCTAAATCGTTTATCACAGCAATAAATGGAGTGGACAAATGAAGACTACACGGGAAAAACCAGATATGTCACATTATCATAGAAATTAAGATAGCGATACAACTTTATAGACAAATGTTAACGTCATTCGAAAAAAGAAAGCAATAATACGCTTAGTCCCAGAGATATTACAGCTTGGTTATTTTGCCGTACAAAGGAAAAACCAGAGTAGTCCACGCGTAAATGGCAAAAACCAGAGATGTACTTACGCATGGGCGACAAGCATGCATCTTGCAATTAGTATTATATTATTAAAACAAGGGATATTACAGAAAATAAACGTCGAAAATCAAAAACACAAACAAATTTATTCCGCTCGAAACTTGCCGAAGCTTACAATAAACAACAATAATCTCGACTGACCGAAAAACATAGATGAATCAACAAATCTCTCAAAAACATCATCTGACACGATCGATAGAAAACTATTATCCTTATGTAACAATCTTAAAGGTATACACATACGTAATTAATTTATGTACGTATATACGGAATATTTTTTTCGTTATCAATATGGTTATAACTTTATGTATTGTAATAAAAACCTACTTAAATATAAATTTTTAACAAAAAATAATAGTTTAGATTTAGGTTTTATACAACCTTTAATTAATTGAACATCTCTGGGCTTCTCCTGTTTTGTTTTGAATTTTGACTATTTTTTTAGATTATCTATTTAGATTTTTATTTCAATATTTCAGAATATGGCGATAATTCACAATATTATAGAATATATATAATAATTCAGAATTGGTAGTAATTAGTAATATAAATATTTTTCTAATTATTCAACCGAAAATGGCATATTTCTTTAAAAACACTAAATTGCATTTTTCTCGGCTCTAATTAAAATGGACAAAACTGGGTTTTCCCGTGTAGTCTTCAAATGATGTTGTTTTGGAATTTATGGATTTATACGAAAATGAGCCCTTCATATGGATGGCCAAACATAAAGAACATAGAAATCGTATTACAGTGTACAGTAAAAGAACTTAAAAAGAAAAAAGAATCACTAGCAACGACAATTTCGGGACGACCAGTATCCATCGATGCGACTATACTGTTTACTTGCCAAGGATTGTAGGGGTACTTGGCAAATACGCAAATATTGGCGTACTTGCCAAGTACACTTGTCAATGTAGTACAAAGTGGGGACTGGTGGGGATACTTGCCAAGTACGCAAATATTGGCGTACTTGTCAAGTACGCCAGTCGTGAGAATCCGCCTTAAAATGCTTAGTTTCGGAGATACAGGGTGTAGAAGTTTTATTTTTATTTCGATTTTTCCAAATAGTTTCGTCAATAATTCGATGTCAATATTTCGATGAAAATTGATGTCTGGGAGTTCTTTGACATGAGAAATTTGTTTTCGATGTTAATATGACTCCTATTTCTAGGGGGCGTCACCTACATGTGTTTTAACTGTTATGAAGAGTAATAACTGTTCGTCCATACCTGTATAAAACTACTGAGTGAAAAAATATATATTTTCGTGATTTTTTACGTAAAAAATGTCTCTTGGCAAAAATCGCTACGAGCAACCGTTCTCAAGATATTTAGAATCGAAATAGTCAATACATGTCATTATTGACAAAAAATAAACATATTGAGTAGATACTTAACTTGACTGAAATGATAAATTTGGGAACTTTTTATTTTTTTAAATTAATCATAAACCTTTCTTCGAAAAAATTTGCGATAAAACAGTTTCTGTTGAACTTTTGCCACAAAAACATTTCAAATTTATGATTTCAGTCTAATAGGGTAGGATAGCGCAAGAGTACGCACTTAATATTTATTGCTGAATAACATTGAAACAAAGTCGTTTTAAGGTTGAAGTATATTTAGGAAATTATAAAACATGCATTAATTTAAACATATAACATTCCAAAAGTAATTTAAAAATGTATTTGACAAAAATATCTAAGTTTAAATAAAAACATGCAAATGCGTACTCTTTGGTGAATATTCCCCTAAGAGTTCGCACGTAAATTCCCTAAGAGTGCGCATTCTAATTGTACGAGTTAACCAATCGTTAAAATTACTTGTCACATAAATCGCATAAGAAACTACCACTTCCAAGATAATTAGAACAGTCCTCATGCCACCAAGTTTGGCAAACACGGCACATTAACCAATCAGAGTAACTAAAATTTTCATTGCATCCTGGACAGATAGTGTTGTCTATTTTAGTTGCTGAAGCTTGTTTACACTTGAGAATTTTTCTTTTTCCCTTTTGTGCCTTTAGTTTTTCTTCTGTCTGTTCTAATAAATGTTCTTTATATGGGGTAGAGGACAGAATTTCAGACCTTTTAGATTTTGTTTTCCTAATTTGCTCGTATTTAGCTTTTGGCAGCGGTAGAATCATTTTGGGTGTTACAGAACAACATGGGTCAGATTCATTTAATTTAACAGAAGATAAACTGTGTCGTGGACTCTGATTTGCATATTCTTTTTGATTTTGATTAAATATTGGACTATTTGTTGGTGTCCTATTTTCTTTTTCTATTGTTATTTTTTGTTTTTCTTGTCGCTGCAATTCAGCCAGTGGTATTTCATCTTCATCAGACCATTCTATTAATTCATTTCTATTTATATCCTCTTGTCCTTGACGGTCTACATCTGAATGAAATTTATCAGTGACTTCAGACGGGGCAAAGTCTGCTGCGGTAAAAATATCAGGATTGTAGGGATATATCCCTGTACAATCAAATGATTTTTCACAGATCTCTATTGTAGCGACTTTTGAATAAGCTGAATGGAAAAGCGCTGCCATTTCTCTCATTGTGATTGGTCTCCCAGGATTACTAACCATCCATTTATCACATTCTCCAGAAAAAGCCGTTTTTAAGGGGAAGAAGAATACTCTGTCCAAAGGCTGAAGCTTATGACTTCCGTGGGGTGGTAATGTTAAAAGTGTAATAAAATGGCTCCTCGCAAATAAAACTGCTTCCAGAGAGCAATGTGAAATATGGTTGTCCATAATTAAAACTACAGGATCCGACTCGGAAGGTTTAACAAAGGTTGAAAAATGGTGCAACCAAACTAGAAATAATTCTGTGTTCATATACCCAGAATCAGATATCATCTTCAGTGTACCTGGAGGTGCCCCATAAAAAAGTTCTTCTTTCATACGCTTTCTAGCGAATATTAAACCTGGCGGTACCCAGGTACCAGAGGCACTCATACAGCATACTGCAGTAACTAATTGACCTCTGTCGGCTGACACTATTTTTGATACTGTTCTTTTGCCCTTTACTGCATAAATTTTATGGAGCTTGTTTGGAACAGTACAAAGTCCCGTCTCGTCCATATTAAAAATTCTGTGTGACAGCACTTTTGTTTTTTCGTAGACAAGTTTTAAATTTTTAAAAAATCTGTCACACTGGACTTTATTAAATCCTGTAGCCCGACCTAAACTACATTTTTCTGGAGCTCTTAAAGATAAACGATTTCTAGCAGCAAAGTCCTGTGCCCAATGTTTCCCTGCCATTAAATTTTGTTCGTTAAACCTATGAGAAATGTGGTTTAGTTTCGCGTATTGAAAAGCTAGTGATCTAACATCCTTCATACGAAGTCCGTAAAATCTCGCCTCCAGATCGCGAATATGATCCGCCAATTCTTTTTCTTGTGCTTTCGAAAATATTGGTTTAAATCTACCCAAGCTAGTTGGAACAGTGCCCTAAAAAAAGTAAAACGAGGAATAGTTTAAAATTTTAAAGTAATCCTACATATTACTTCACGCAACCTCTTCCTTAGAGTACATTCATTTACCCCCAATGCCTTTGCAACCGATCTTTTACTCTCTCCCTTTGATATTCTATCGGCTGCCATATTTAACATTTCTTGCGTAAATTTTAGTACTCTATCGCTCTTTCGTTTGTACGGGCTCATTATTATACTGTTTTGGAATTGTCTACAGCATAAAAATATTAAAAATTAAATGCTTTAACGTATACCTAAGAGTACGCACCTGTGCGTACTCTTAGGGAGACACGTAATCAAATTCTAAAAACCAATTTAACCATCTAGGCAACTAATAAAACTTTAATTTAACCTAAAAGTGTCTCTGTAAACAAAGCACTTTTTATTACTATTACAGCAGTTTTCATAAAAACTGAATGCACAAATGTATGTACCTTACTTGTTGTATTACAAATATTATAGTAAATAGGGGAAAATATCATTTCTTACCGCCAATTAAAGAAGGGTTAAAGCAACACCATCAGATTTTTAGACACTACTCCTATGGCCGTTACCAAGCTACTTATGCGTTTATATTAGGCAGATTGCTTGTCACTTCGTAAATATGGCCGCCGCGTACTCTTACGGAATGC